AGACACCGATACTTTCGTTCGGGTAGCTAGTTTTTTTTTTTTTTTTTTTTTTTTTTTTTTTTTTTTTTTTTTTTATCGTTTGCAACGCAAATCCGCCAACAGATTGGTTAAGAGCCGTGTAATTTTAATTCCATATTCATGAGAAATCGCAATTCACACTTAGAATGGCAATCATTAGAAATGATAAGAAATGTCAAATGAGCAAAATTAAGGACCGTTTATTCATTTTGGCCAAAATTAAGGACTTTTAAGGACCAAAAATCATTTTTGAAAAAAATTAAGGACTTTTAAGGACCGTACGAACCCTGTCTTTCTAAAATAAATTAGAAAATATATTATGTGCAAATAAAATATTCGTTGAAAATGAAATACACTTCAACCTTTGGATATAACGATGGTTTTAGACGAAATTTCTACCTATGAAAAGAAATTGACGTGTAATTAATTCTTCATAAACATTTAAAACTGTTCTGAAAAATACTTTTGATGACTGCATGTATAGGTCTTGGATTTTTTTTTCTCTGCTAACATAAACAAAAGCCAATTTTACAAAGGAAAATTCTCGTTAAAGATATACCTCCTTTGCTTCCTTTGCCAATGTAATATTTGTTAAAATTAAATGATGAAATGCAACCAATGTATCTCGGATTTTCTGTTTTATATTAAAATAACAAAATTGTCGAAAAAAGCAGATTTAAAGCTCTGTTATTGTTATGTAAAGCTTTATTATTGCTGTAAGTTCATCTCAAAATCTAATTGTATTGAATCTCATTCTAATCATCTAATGGTAATAAATATTATTATTATTATTTCATTAAATTAGTCATTACCATTATTTTGTTAATGAAAATATGTTAATAAAAACCGCATTCCAGCCTGCAGACTTAGAAAGCTAGTTCGTATTTATTATATTTTGTAAAATTTTGTTCTCGTTTTCTAATTTCTAATACGAAAATACGCGAATATAAATGAAAAGTGAAAACAAAGTTAAAAAATTCCCAAATTATTTATGAGATTGATGAGAAATAGTGAGTGAAATATAAACATTGCATATATTTTGTTCTAAATAAATAATGCACTGTATATGCATCCAGTACTGCATATTTATTTATGCACTTTTTTATTTAGAACTTCATTTAAATGAAAGCAAAATAATCATCGAAAAATCGCAAATCTAGCAACCCCTCTACTATGGGATGTAAGTGTCCGACAAACATATAAATTTTACTGCATCCATTGAGGGGGAATAACGACTTTTCTCATCAGGAAAATGTCAAAGAGGGGGGCAAAACTGTTTCGGATCACGCCGGTCTGAAGGCTATATTATGAGAATTTTAGCCCGGTTTTAGAAGGTTAAGATATGCAAATAAAAGACAGTATAAAGTAGTTAACAAATGTGATCAAAAATATACCTAAATCTAATAACTTCCCATAATTATATCTAAAATGAAATAATAACCTAACAAAAACAACATACATGACAGCACTATTTAAGAAAAAACATAAACTAGTAATGTTTGAAAGTATAAATAGCAGAAGGAAGGTAACAGAACTAAAATTTCCAATTAATAAAAAAATGTTTGTGTTTTTTAAATAGTAAGCAATTAAAAGTGCAATGATTATGGATTGCAGCATTTACTAGTAATGCTGATGTTTCTTAACACCATTTCTTTTGATCATATGTTAATGTATTTACTTATTTTTAGTTTCTACATTTTAGAATAGTGGTAGATTACAATGATTATTTCATGCACTTTTTATAATCAATAACTTTCCTTTTTGTTACTGTACGGAAATAATTAAAATAATAAAGTATATGATAGTAAGATAAGTACGTTAAATAGCACACGATGAAACTTTTTGTTTCTATTTATTATGAATTTCTTTGTTATCACAAGCACATAAAGTGAAGAAAATAGAATATACTTAAATTTAATAAAAAAATAAAACCTGATTTCCAACATTCATTTATTGAGATAATCTAATAAACATACATAACGGCAATTTAAAAAAACGGGAATTACACAGCGTTTGAAAGAATAGATACCAAACGAAAAGTAACAAAACTGCAATTTGCAATCAATAAAAAAAATTTTTTTGGATATTACACAATTAAATATCACTTAATTATAGATTACAATATTTCATAGAAATGCTGATGTTTCCTTAACACTAGTTTTTCGATCATACATTTCATACACTGTTTAAAATCATTAACCTTTCCTGCATACTGTACAAAAGACAATATACTATAGAATGTGCATTATTATTAATTTTAATAATTAATTAATTACTTATATACATATATCTAATTCATCTTCAGCAGTCATATTAAGTACAGGTACCAGTCCAATAATTTCTTTGTATTTTGAAAATAATGAGCATACCATAACAGCTCTAATTGTTGTTGCTTTTGTATTGATTGCATTTTCAACAAAACCAGAAAGTGCCTTACCGTTGTATGTTATTTTTGGTTTTATGTCAATTAATTCTGAAAGCCAACTTTTTAATATGAACACAATAATCGATTTATATGAATGATATGCGATATAGCACTTATAACCAAAGCACAAAGCTAGTAATTTTATCCAAATATTGCACTGCTAAAAACCACAGCGATTGGAGACAGACACTATTTCCACAAAGACACTATTTCAGTTACCACACAGACACTATTTCATGAACACTATATTCCACAGACCACTACAGACCACAGAGACACTATTTCACGAACACTAGATTCACGATAGCAAATATTCACACACAAAATAAGTACAAATTCTGCATTCTGACGATAATTTCACTCGCTGAAGGCTGTTGAAGTAAATAGATACAGAACAATGAGAAGATTCACAATGCGTTTTTTGATTGACAGTGCATTACATTTACTTTTAATATAAGCAATATTATTCATATCAGCCATTGTTTGATTCAATTTCAAACATGAAGTAAATCTTTTCAAATGCCTTACAGATGGCATCTTTACCCAATGACTTGAAAGAACTGCTAGAATCTGAATTAATTGCGCAATTGTTCGAATTTGGCAGCTAGTCAAAATGCACAAATCTCGAGATGTTCGTTATATAAGGGCATCCAGTAAATAATGTACAGGTCTGCTTCTCCTTCCGCCATATATATTGGACAGCCGTGAATTTGTCCTTACTTCAAAAAATAAGAAACAAAGTCATATTTCAGTAGTGAAATAGTTGCCAACACATGATTTGCATTGATTTTGGAAATATGATTTTTTTAGTACATAAAATGCATAACTTAATAACTTACTTTATAAATTAGTTTCATTTTTAAATATTTTGCTATCATATTTATAAAAAATATTTTAAATATTAATTATTTTAAAAAATTTTAAACAATTATTTAGCATGTATTTTTAGTACTAATTAAATTTAATAAATCAAAAGTATTTATATTAAATTTACATTTCATTAGATGAATCTACCTTAGATTAATATATTTAGATGAAATATATTAATCAAAGGTAGATTGTAAATGATGGTAAAGTAATGAAACACTGCAAAGTAAATCTTATGTGGAATTCAGATTCTTGAAAGGGCAGATTTAGTTTCTTTTCATTCTAAAAATAATGCTGATGAACTAAAAAAAATGCTAAAAAGACCATGTCTAAAAGCAGTAATATCATGACGTTTCAGCGACGTTGACAAATTGCCAAGACGCAATGGCAAATATTTTGCGTCTTTGTAACGTTGTAAAGACGTCATAAAAGTTACCACAACCACTTGCAACATCTCGAACCAGTCCGAAACATCGTATGCTACTTGGGGAAATTTTCCATCGAGATGACAATGCCTCAATCAACTAATGAATGGCAAAATCTGTAGTATAGTTCTAAATCCAGAAAATATCACTATCAATAATGAAGAAAGTAATAGAGAAGGTTTCTGAGAATGAAAAAAATTCAATTGGAATTCTCGACATGGCAAATACAGGACTTGAGCAATGGAGCTTTGTAACTGAACAAGAAATTATACCTATCAATAGAATTTTTTTAAATGTTTAATAAAGCAAACAAACAGATATAGAGTTGCTATTTTTTTTTGGGGGGGGGCAGATTTTGATTCTTTTAAAATTACAAATGCTTCATTATTTCATTGATAATGTTTTTTTTTTATTATTTTATTTTATAATTTATACATGTCATCTTATTGATTTAAACTGATGATCTAATATCCGGAAAAATCCCAAATCCAAAAGTGTCAAAGTTTCAACATGTATGGATTTTGGGCTTTGTATTGCATAAAATAAAAGACATTTTGCAGTGGCAACTGGCAGAACAGAGTCATAAATGCAGAAATCAAATTTAATAAATTATAAATAAATCTTTATCACAACCCAAATTTTATTCTATAGAAAAAATCACCTGCATGAAAAGTATGAACAATCATGAAACACATGGAAAGTAAGGAATGCAACAATTAACAGGCTGTTGCAAAAAGCATTATGCATTTCCTCAGATAAAATATTTACACAATATCAAATATTCTGCTTAATATGTCATAAAAGCTATGATGTTATTAAATAGAGTTTTTTTTAAATCTCATATTTTTGCTGTGGTAACTGGCAGAACTGAGTCATAAATGCAGAAATCAAATTTAATAAATTATAAATAAATCTTTATCACAACCCAAATTTTATTCTATAGAAAAATCACCTGCATGAAAAGTATGAACAATCATGAAACACATGGAAAGTAAGGAATGCAACAATTAACAGGCTGTTGCAAAAAGCATTATGCATTTCCTCAGATAAAATATTTACACAATATCAAATATTCTGCTTAATATGTCATAAAAGCTACGATGTTATTAAATACAGTTTTTTTAAAATCTCATATTTTACTTTATTTCATGAATATGAGCATTGTATAAAACAGCATTAAATACTTTTTTATTATTAGTCTTTTCTAATATACTTGTACTATAAATAAACAAAAAGGTTACTTTAATTAAAATACCATAAATTACCTGCTTTTGAGAGAAAGTGTTTGATAAGGGACTCTGTGCCCTCTGGAGCAACAAAATTTGTTTTGGTTTCAGATAATTTCCTGAAGTTTTCAATCTTTTGTCCTAGAGGCACTAAACTATCTTGATCTAAAAGTTCATCATAAAACCTTCAGTGAAAAGAATTTTTAAAGTAATTAATTATAAATATTTAATTTGTTTTACAAATTAAACACTTTAAAGACTAAATCAAATATTCTTAAAAATCTCAACTGTTACAGTTTAACAATATTATGGTTTTCACCATAGTGTGATTTCAAAGACCATGTATATGAGATACAATATGAATTTTCTAAATAAAATAATGTCAACTTAATAAAAATAATAAATTAACCATTTCTTCAAGCTATACAATACTGAAGGTAAGAAAGTGATGGTTTATGTGGATTTTGAATAAACTAGGGGGAAAAAAAATTTTTTTTTGTTTCAATATGCTTAAAAATTTCCATTTTTCGACATATTTTTCATTATCATTAAAAATGTTTTCCCAAAAATTTTGGCCTTCTTACCAGTTTTAAAAACTGCATGCCATTCAGTTTAGTACTTTATTTCTATACATGTATGTAATATAAAAACTCTCTCAAGAGTTTTTGGCATTGAAAGTTGTTAATAATGGCATAACTATAAACAGTACTTGTAAAAGGCATAACTATAAACAATATTTGTATTCTTAACAAGTAACAGTATAAACAGTATTTGTATTTTTAACAGCAACTTATATTCTTAAACAAGATTTCTCTCAGGAATTCACATAGATCACAGAATTCCTAAGATTTCTCTTAGGAATTCTCTTCAGCATAGCATATAGTATTAGAGTCTGACATCTATTGTCATAAGTCTGACATCATTAATCTAAATCCAAAATGAAGACACTTCAGTAATTTTAAGTTTAGTTGATAACTTGGAAGGTTTACAACAAAGAATAGATAACATTAGTTACTGGTTTATGTAATTTTGAAAAAATTAGATTCGTGAATTAAATTCTGGTAGGAAAGACAGTTGAAAATGAATAAAATACCAAGGTTAGGTGAATTCATCGAGTTTAAAATATTAAGCATGAACATAACAAAACGTCAAGTGTCAGGAGGAAAAAATTAATACATTTATGGCGAATTCTAAATGTGTCTACTGTCAAGAAGTTTAAAATATGTTAAAAATTCTCTTAGATGTTCCAAAAAAAAAAAAAAAAAAAGACTACATTTTGATTTATAATCCTATGCAGAGTATATTACTGGTACCAGTATACTTTTATATTTAAATGAAGAATGTATGAAGGATTTTTTTGGTTTCTCCTATGCAGAGTATAAACGCAAGTCAGTCTTCCTTAGAAAGTTAATTTCTATCAAATACTTAGTCTTCAAATTCTTTGCTATGATAAATTAACCAACTAACCGTAAGTATATAATTTTAAATTTTGTAATAGTGTTTTGGAAATTATAATTTTATTATTCATGACTAAAAATAAGCTAGTAAAATTCGAATGACAAAATGGACAACAAGTTAATGGGTAAAAAGCTAAAGTGCAAAAATGATAGATATCATAAAAACAGTTTAGAAGACATAAATAAAGAATTTATTTACTAACCTTGCATGACTACGAATAAACTCCAAAGTAGCACTAACATACTGGGCACCTAAATCAACAGAACATTTTGGTTCTGATGGATGGTGAAAAGTATAAAAGCGCCCACCTGTAATAGTTAAGTATACAACTAAAGTATGAATGGCATTTATTATATACAGATATTCTTCTATAACCTTTAAAATGTTAATGCAAAAACAGTAGTATAAAAATATCACATTAAATCCTATTTCAATTACGCTTTTTTTTTTTTTTTTTTTTTTTTTTTAATTTCATTATTACTAAACACTATACAATAGTACAATCAAAGCTATTTTTTATATTCATTTCCCATAAAATTTTATATATATATAGCCATTTAAAATTTTTTTTTAAATAATAAATATTGCCTACTTAATATATATTAGGAATTGTGAAATTGTGCAGTAAACAAACCATTTGTAAAAATGATAGAATTAAAGGGCTCTATTACATAAAATCAAATTGAAAAAAAAAAAAAAAAAAAAAAAAAAAAATACAATTTTAAAAAAAAATATTAATGCAAGTTAAAAAAACTTGTATTAATGCCAAAGTTTAAAAATTGAGGAAAATATTGGAGCTGTCTAAAATACAAGTGTGCAAGACACGGTTGTTTTAATAAATGTTATAACTGAATAAACAATTATTAAAATAAATTTTATAAACATTAACAAATAAATAAGCAATTTATTATACAGTACAAAGTCCAAAATTCGGACTCGTCGGGACTTTGGCGATTCCGTATTTGGGATTTTTCCGGATAATAGATCATCAATTTAAATCTGGTAAGATGGCATGCAGAAATTATACAATTAAAAATATGAAAATTGTAATTTATGAAATAAAGAACAATTATGATCTAAAAGGTATCAACATTCACACAGAAAAAAAAGGACAAAGTGCAGAATCGCCCACTGCTTGGAGCATTTTTAAGAATTGCACATACTCAGTATCCATGTACACGTCGACCTATTTTCACTTAAAAAAATATCCCAGAATTGCACAAAAAGGCATTGCGCACTTCCTTGACTTTATCCATGTACACATCGACTTATTTTCACTTAAAAAGTCAAAGAAAATTGACAAAAAATTAAATTCTTCTTACTCTTGTAAAAAGTGCCAGCAATTCCAATTTTTGCTTAATGGACATTGAAACATGGTTTCGCTTTGCAGATCCTTTGGCAGCTCCAAAACTGGGAACTCTTTTCGATATAAAATTGCTGTAATAACAGAGTGCAAAAAATAATAAGCTGGATCACATTAGAAGATCACGGAGCAGAGCAGTCTGCTACATTAACTAAAATGCCTTAGAATAAGTTAAGATAATTTTAGCCTAACTTAATAGTGTCTGTTATACATTATTGGCTGTGTATCACAAGCTTGGCGACGAAAGCCAAGTTGTTCTGCTAAATTTTGTCTTGCTCCTATTTCGTACTGAATTAAGCCTGAATTGTATTAGTTATTTACTATACCTACGTTTATTGCACAAGCTTAAAACTAATCTCAGTCCCGAATATATAAACTCCCACATATACTTAGGGCTTTATCTAGGGCCGGCACTAGATACTGGTGCAGTCTTTAAATTCTGCTACAAATCTCCTTCCAAACGTTTATTTCTTGCACAAGCTTAAAACTAATCAGAGTCCTGAATAAATAAACTCCCACATATACTTAAGGCTTTATCTAGAGCTGGCACTAGATACTGGTGCAGTCTTTAAATTCTGCTACAAATCTCCTTCCTAAGTTGTAAATTTTCACTGTGCCTAAACTTTGGATCCCAGTGCTTTCCCCCCTAAATTATAAAAAACTTCTCATCCCTTAATTTTGCCGCTCAGCACTTCCCCAAATAAAAAAAATTTTGTCTTTCTTAAATTCTGCCGTCTAGTGTCTTCCCTAAATTTTCCCACTGCTTCCGAGTTTATGATGAATAACATATCTGTTATTCCGAGTTAAAATAGCATTAAATGTAATCTTTTGGCCTATGAGTTTTATTAACAAAATCTATTTTTAGCATATGAAAAGAAATTTTTGTTGAATTTTTCCTCATCAACACTTTTTAGAGCATTTAAAAAATCTATAATCATCGCCAAGCATAATATTAGCAGAAAAGGTTGCCTTACTCTTATTATTCAATAACTAATATAAAAAAAGTTTAGACATCACTGCATGAGTTATTACTGAATCTGTCATGTATTGATAAACATGCGGTGTTGAAAGCAAAATATAATAAATAATGATTCGCCAGGTTGGCGTCAGGAATATAAAATAGATGAATGTTTCGGTTTGAGATGTAATGCCAAGCAGACACTCAGCTGCGGAACCAAATTATTAATCTCGCAAATGTATGCTTACATGATTGTTTTTTCACAACGATGTATTTTATTTAGTGCCTAAGTGAAATTAAGAATAGGAATTTTTAAGTGAAAATCTCCACGTTTTATTATGAAAGGAAAAATCAAATGCGTATGCGTACAGCATACCCCCTCCCAAAAAAAAAAAGTTTGTGGCTTTAAGGTCCGGATTTTAGATCATTCCGGATAATGGATGTCCGGATTTTGGACTTTCTACTGTATTTATTTTCAGTAAAACAAAAGCATAGTTGTTAGAAATATAGATTTAAAGTGAAGAACTTAATGTTAATTTACAGTAATAAACAAATAATTATAGTAATTTTCAGTAGAAAATACTAACTAAACTGTATATGACATAAAATTTAAGATCACATTGTGATGTTGTAACCTTAGTCCCACCCATTTATGATATCACTAAGCTAGCCTTGACAGTTTTGTTTACATTTTTCACCTTTAAGCTAATACTATAACATATCAGCAAAAAGGCACTTCGGCAGTGCACCTGGTACATTTGTACCCCCCCCAAAAAGTTATTTTTCTATTATTAAGACTGGATTCAGCCATTGCCAAATGCTAACGTTTTGGCGAAAAATTTGATGAATAAAAATAATTTCCAAAATATTTATGATATAGTTAAACTGAAGAAAAATCCATGGAAAGAATAACATAACAGATATTTAAAAAATTATAAATTTCTAATATAAACTAAATTACTTGCCAAGGAAATGAGGGGGGGGGAAACAAATTTTACTCAGCAAATTAATATTAAAGCGGAGGCATGAAACTGGAGATATCATTTAAAACATCTGAAAATATCTGCATTTTTGGATGCAGCTGCTGCCATGTAAACTCGATTAAATAAGAATCTAATTGGTTATAGGCAGTGTCATGCTGACCCTTATATGTTACCTGCCCCATAACCTTTTAATAGTTTGTGTATGTCAATGAGTATTGGGATCGATGAAATTATGGTTAATGCAGAAATATTCAAATCTGGTTTTAATTCTTCAATGTTCTACACTTTATAACAGTCTGAGTATATTATAGTACCATCAATAATTTTTAAACAAAGTTCTGACAAAGCAATTAGGCACAACTAATAAACATTCTTTTGTTTCTTAGAAATCCTGTTGCACAACCAATGGGATGGAAGGATATGCGGCAATGTTTTTTCGATGCAAAAATAGACTTTCAACTACAACATTACCAATGCCGCTATTTTAACTGATGGTTCAGACATTAACGCATAGCCACAAACTTCCATTATAAACTGTTCCAATCAATAACAGTGCAATGATTCATATTGATTGACAGATTTCAATGGAAGATAATTCTAAACACTATGCATAAATGAAGAAAACTGTCATTAAAAAATTATTCTCAATTCTTCAAACTGGTTTTCAGAGCATAATCCTTTTTTTTTTTTTTTTTTTTTTTTTTTTCTTTTTTGGCAAATTGTACCTTTACATCTTCATTTTGACACTTCCTTGGAATCGAAGAATTTCATCATCTCTTTAATGTACACTTTCTTTCCCAGCGAATAATTCCTCATTCTTGTAGAAATCTTATTGAAGATGTTTAATCATTCGATAAGTTCCAAATTTTCCTATCCATGATAAAAATTCCAATAAAATTAACTTCACAGAACATTACTCTAGCCAGTAAGGCACAATTTCAAGATGGCCGTTACACAAAACCAAAATAACAAGTCAAAGAGTTGCACAAACTCGGTATCAATGTACACATAGATCCATTTTCACATTAAAAAAATCAGAGAATTGTACAAACTCGGCATTGCACACATCGATCTATTTTCACTTCCAGAGGAACGTGCATCAAGAAATGTTACCAGAGTGGGTACATGGGGTATCACATACCCCAATATTTAAAATATGGTAAAAATAGTTTTATCTAGTTTTCAAGCTGTTTTCCATTTACAATATGTGAATAATACTTGGGTTACAAAAAATTCATTTCCAAAATAAGCTTATAGAGAGTTAAAATAAAGCTAAATGAAAATAACAACAAAATAAACATCATACCTCTAAGTTTTATTCCTTCTCTAGCATACAATGCTTATTTGTTTACATTTGGAACAAAATACATACCTGTGTTCTTGGAACATAAAGTTTTCACACTTTAAATACTGCATTCGTGTCCTTCTGTCCTTGGCTCGAGAGCAATTCATCACATCTTTTATACTTAGTTGTTTCGAATTTCATATATTCGTTTGAATTATTCATCCAGGGGCATAGCTAGAGGGGAGCAAAGTAACAGCAGGGGCGTAGCTAGAGGGGTGCAAGGGGGGCATCTGTCCCCGGGCACAGAATCCAAGGGGCGCCAAATTGATGTTACGGCATTTTATAATTAAATGTTTTCCATCCTTGGCAATCAGTAGGGGCACGAAATCTTCAGTTGTCCCTGGGCGCTGAAAACCCTAGCTACAACTCTGTATTCATCGAAACTTCTGTTCTTTTGTTTGCAGTACATAAATTTCTAGGTAAAGTAGCAATCTCTGATCATTGTTTAGTATGTTTTTTTTATTAATTGTAGACATATGCTTCTGCACCTGGTTGGTGGATTAGCAAATGAAAGTAATCTAATTCGAGCATTTATTGCAGCAACATTCAGGGCAGAAAAGAAAATTACCATTGGCCACTTTATTGTTATTCCGGCAATTGAATAATTTGCTGCCATTTCATCCACAATATCCACTGCTCCCTTAGTCACATTATAAAACATACAATTCCTGCTGCTTTCTGTTCTCCAGTAGTGTCATTTATAGCATCATCGTTATGTAATGCTGACAGAATAAGAACAGTTTTTCCTTTTAAGGAATGTAAGAAATTAATGTTTCGTTTCTGTCGAAACCAAGCAGTGCAGAAAATATTCCTATTTTCTACAGTTTCTGAAATGCAGTCTTCATCACTCACAAATATTTCTAATAATCTCACAGCTGTTGCATCTCCAATTCATAAGGAGTCATTCTTTTTGACATAATGCACTTAGAAATCTTTAAAAATTTAATTTCACAAACTTTAAAATCGTTTGTGAGTAGAAACATTTACTGTTATGCTCTAGAAATAAATTCCTCATATAAATATTCAGTTAGAAAAACATTTATGTGGATAGGCGTGTGGGTGTCATTGCCCAGTTTCAACAAAACACTGATAAAACTTTTTCTGAAATACAGAGGCAACGGAAAAGCAGTGCTGAAAATCAACCACCACTAGAAACTCAGCTACTCAACGCAGCACAGAATTTTAGTTCCTTAAGTTAGGAATATTCCACTTTTTTTGTAGGGTGGGGTATGCTATACTCCACATGCTTTCCTGCAGGTTAAAAAAAATCGAGAGAATGATGATGTCATATAATGTTAAAACAAAGTTACTCATCACTAAAATTGAACAAAATTTGTACCCAATCCAAGCTCAATAAACTGCATTTTAAATCACACAATGAAATAACATAAAAACAGAAATAAACGTTATCGCATATACACACTACAAAAAGGAAATATCAACTTACTAGAAATATCAACTTATTTAGAAATTCCTGTGTCTGTGACACACAAAATTCCTCAAGAGCATCCAAACACTTTCTAAAATTGTCTGAATTAGAATATGCATACTGCCATCACCACAAACATTCACAAAACTAAGATTCAAAAATACCTCACGTAGTGCCAGACTATCGGTAGCATTTCTTGCAACAAATCTATTCAAAGCCATCTGAACAACCTTTGCATTCGACCATACACATATTTTTTATTGCAAACAGGACACTTATAATATCCATGATAAAAATTCCAATAAAATTAACTTCACAGAACATTACTCAGTAAAAATATATTTCAGGGTGCGCTTTGGCGAAAATTAGCAATTGGCCACTAAGGCACAATTTCAAGATGGCCAGCACACAAAATTAAAATAACAAGTCAAAGAATTGCACAAACTTGGTATCTATGTACACATTGACCTATTTTCACTTAAAAAAAAAATCAGAGAATTGTACTAACTTGGCATTGCGCACTCCCTTGTCTTTGTCCATATATACATCGATCTATTTTCACTTAAAAAGTCAAAAGAGCAGCCAGTTCTACACTAGAGCAAATAAAAAATATATAATCTCAATAAACTGCATTTTAAATCAAACAATGAAATAATATAAAAAAGGAAATTCACCTTAGCACTACATAAAGGAAATATCCACTTAGAAATTTCCATGTTTCAGTCAAACAAAATTCCTTAACAGCATCCAAAAACTTCCTACAATTATCTGAACTAGAATCTGTATACTGGTGTCGCCCCGTAAATTCGCAAAATTAACAGTCAAAAATATTCTCAGACGTTCGACCATAAACATTTCCTTCATACAAACAGACAGGACACTTATAATGACTACTAAGTAAACCTTCATTTACACACCAGTCAAGTAATGCATTTTTCCCTTTCGTTCCAAATCGTATAGAAACTTTAAATTCATCTTAGCACATTCACCCATTTCACCGTGTAAACCACCCACTGTATTTCCTAACCAATATCCAACACAGAAACAAGTCCTTACTCTTTATTAAGTTTATGATTATGTATCCTTAGATTGCCACCAGATGGTGGCAGTGTTTGTAAAAAAGAAACTGTGATGTTATAATTATGTATATGTATCAGTTCGTTTTTGATGTTTGTCAATAAACGTTGTGTGGAATAACGCTCCTCTGTTTATTACCTTACACTCTTTTCCCATCATTCAAATTCACCACAATCATGCAACCAATTATGTCATAATAGGGTTTCCATAACATTAAACTACTTGGATTACCACAAATGAAACAACAACTTGGCGATAAACGAAACAACTTAACGATACTCCAAAGGGCATCCTTAAATATACTATAATCAGGACTTTATTTGGAAGATAAGATCCTATAATATAATTCCTAAATATTATGTAAATATATATCTTCTATTATTCCTGTAACTTTTGTAATGCAACGTAGGTGCAGCATTTTTTTGTTGAATACATAAGAAATGAGATGGCTGGTCAGATTTTTCACAAACTTTTGGATAGTATCTCACACCTAATAGACCTTTTATTCTAAAATATCAATTAATGAATCATTTAATAAAAATGCAATACATTTATTAAGATAGTAATTACTTTCATTTCTAAACTATTTAAAAGCTATTAAAATTTCTTTTATTTCTAAACTATTAAAAAACATTTTAAAATACTGTACTTACTTGCATATTTTTTTCCCTTTTCTTACTAATTTTACCACTTGAAAACCAGGAGGTGAAAAATATGTGGTATAAAATATTTCTAATGAGAGAGGTTAGATGATGAACAAACACAGTGCATTAAAAGGCATACACCGACATTCTAATTTATTGCATTATTTCAAAGGCCTTATCAATTTCAATATTCTTTTTACTTTCACAAAATAACTTCCCATTTGGCATATATTTTACATTGTACTATATATCAAGTTTCTAAATCATATGCTAAAAAAAAAAAAAAAAACTAAACGGAAAAATATGCTAAGGAAAGAAATGTATGAGCAAATACTCCTAATAAGTATTAAAAACAAATATATTTCATGAAATAAATTTTCATAAAACAATATTTCAGCAATGCTCGTATGGATTTACAAATTTGTAATGTTATATAACATAAAGAATGGAAAAGTAAAGAATGAAAAGTATGTCTCTCTGTGACTTTGATATGTTCAGTAAAACTATTATCACCCAGACTATATGCCTTTGTCAGAAACCTGCAAAACATATTTTCATGATACCAGGATTGACCTTAAACACAGAATTCAGAAACACGGATCTGATTTGATAGGAAAATTTATTTAATTAAGGAAAACCATACACAGGCTATCCACTAAGGAAGAAGGTTATTCCACTAAGGAAGGGAGGTTTTCATTGGGGACTTTCTAAGGGAAACTGCCTCGTACTCACAAGATGTCACCATTTCAGAATATGCACACTGAAAGAAGTTAAAAGAATGTTTTCAGCATTTACTTTTGCAGTTATTAATAGTGTAAATCATTAACAAAATTTATTCCTGAAAGAAAATGATATGGTACATAAGCAAGTCAATTTTTTAGAAGTATTCGGAATAAACAAATTAAATCATTATAAATTAATTGCAATTTTTGCTCGAAAATTCAATTTAATGCGACATAATTCAAATAACCATAAAAAAAACGCATTTTCAAATAAGAATAAAACGGACAATATTAGAAAATTACACAAATTTCTATGAGGACTAATTAATCTATGAATGAAACTTAGGTTAATACAAGGCACATTTATTGAGGATATTGTACTTTTAGCAAAACAAATATTAATTCTTAATGTTTACCGATATGATTTTCCTTTTCCCAAATGGATATATCAGCCGCAGCTTCATGTTTAATTAAACTAGCAGTCACACTACCTGTTAAACCACACCCTACTATCAAAATTTTTGAAATAATAGATTTTTCCATTGTTAATGAATTAAAAATTTAGTACATTTGCTTAATGATTAGTAAATAGAATATTTCAGAGTTGCAGTTGAAGTTCAGTATTTAAATATTGCACGTTGCCATATTTACGGAATGTTTTATTGTGTTGCCAATATTCTATCCAAAACATTTATTTAATTAACACATGCCAATATTTGTAAACAAAATATCAGATGACAATGACTTATTACATAAAGCTTTAATTCTATAGAGTACTTTTTATCTGCTTATTTTATCTAATTTATCTAAATCGGTAATGTAGTACTCATAATATTATAACTACTTTACATAATATTGGCAACAATCCTTTTTTGTTTTGTTTCGGCGTTCGTCTGTTTTCTTCAATGAGTCATTATCATTCTTCTTGGCGTAATTCTTGGCTAAATCGTGAACTGAAAAAACTCATATTTACAGGGTGCAAAATATGATCTTTATTAAGAAACATAAATATATACGATTGTGATGATTTTCCATTCTAATTTATTTTTTTATAAACTATAGAATGGGTGTTTGTATGACCCGGTGTTACACAGAATTTCGCCGCCTTAGGTAAAATAATTAAATTAATCTCAATATGCGTTATATTTTTTTAATCTGCATCAAGAATCAGTCATAAAAAGAAAGGTTATGCGAATTTTATAATTATATGATAGAATTTATAATCTATAATCATATTATAGCTTGTTCATTAGTTAAATTTTTTTAATAAAGTGTTTAATCGCTTTTTCTTTAAGTATATGTACAGTATATATAATTTAGTTATGTCATGTCTTTACAAGTAGAGCTATTTATGAAACATATGTAGAAAATTCTATCATGAAGCAAAAATTCCTGAAAATTTCATAATTACATGATAAATTGCAATTTCGAAATAGAATGTTATTTTGAAAATGTAGATTTTTTATGGAGGATTTACATTTCAGTAATTCTAAGTGTGAGATACACAGTATATAATTTAGTGATCTAATTTCTTCACAAATCTAATTATTTATAGAAAATTTTTCTTCTATGTATTTATTACTTGGTTTTTTTTTTATGGTGTTTTGCATATGTTAACAGTTTTGTTAAACCCTCATGAAATTTTGAAATAAATCACAGTTCGAATTAATGCATTTTTGTACGTCAACAGGAAAAACAGATTCCCTAATTGTCCTTCATCAATTGATGAAGGACAATTAGGGATCCTTTTCTAGTCATCATTATTGAGTAATATTCATATCTTTGCCATTAGAAAAAAAAAAAAAAAAAAAAGAATCACCGTACTTAAATACTGTAAAACAGTGACATATGACAACATGAATATGGTAAAACATGACATACTGTAATACAGTGACTATGACATATAAACAGTCACCGTAAAACAGTGACATAAAACAAAAATGTGTTGTATTGATATGTTATCAAGGTAAATGTGTATGAAATTTGAATAAATTAATTAAAAACCAAGTAGATAGTGCTGCTGAAGACAGAATTTGATCTGGTCCAAATCCCTGTGAATGAATTATCTGATTTTTAATTTGAATTAAGAAATGATGATGCAGAATCTCCTAGTAATTAAAAAAAAAAGTATTTATTTAAATGACACTTTTCCTGTATGTGGTGGGTGGCATTAATTTTAAGCAATAGAAGTACTTAAGTATAAAAAGAGAATAACAGAAGTATTTCATTTATGTATATAATTCCTTTTTATCTGAAATAAAGACTAATATTAGTCAAACTTTTAAAAATGCAAATTTTTAATGTTGGTGTGCATCTTATGTATTTATTATAAGTCTTAGTATTTTAATTTTTATTTTATTTTGTATGATTTGCCTTACATAATTTTATGTTTATATTTTATACCTTTCTTGTTAATATGTATATTTCCCCCCTCTGAAATTTTAATTACAGCATCTTTTTACAAAACTCCGGGTGACATGATTTATGTTTATTAGACAAGCACTTGACAAAATACTTTGAATATGTTAGTGAATTGCAAAGTACTTGAATAATTTTTCATTAAGCATTTTGATGCAAATCAATTCAGGTATATATATATTTTTATGCTGTCATGCTTATAAAAATATATTCAAACTTCTTTTGAAAAGTCTCATTTAACAAAAGCTATATGGTTTCTGAGTAATTGTTTTGACTAATTTTTATATTTAATTTGAAACTAAACTAAAAATTAATTCAAGTAAGAATAGTATTTTTTTTAAACATAATATGGTAAAATTTTACTGCTGTTACAGTGTGAATCACATACATTATTGTTCAAGCATTAGGTGTTCACTTTGTCATGTATTAGTTGCTTAGTATCAGATGTATGCTTTTGACCCTTCTGCAAAATTGGATACCTGGGAGTCCACTTTTCTGGTTGCATCTGGTATAATAAGCTGTAGCTACATGTAACATATTTATGGGTTACGTTATATATACAATTTTGAATAGCTTTTTTGTTATTCGTTTCTCTAGTTGCTGGCAAGGTAAATCTGGCTTGGAAGACAGAGACAGGTTGATAGATGTAAGTATTGTTGAAAAGTGTTCATTTATGCTTTTAGAGTTCCATATGGACATTCTTTATATTATCATTTAACCGTAGATAAAATATATTTTACTGTATGCTATCTTAACTCCAAAACATAGTTATACATTGACACATTGAAAATACTTGTCACATGCAAGGTTATAACTCTTATACAGTTAATCTTTGGATTATGATAACTTGGCGATTTTTTGGCGACCAACCCTGCTACAGCAACCTGCTAGTTTTTCTTCGACGCCATTTTGTTTTCACGAAGTTAAAGGCATGTTTTTTTTTTTTACTCAACATTTTTTTCCAACAATCTGCTAGCCGAATTACACTTATGCTAGAACTTTTATGGAACAAAAGTGCTTAATCATGACAAAGATTAGATGTGAAATTGGGAGAAAGTGCAGAATCACCCACTGCTTGCCGCGTTTTTAAAAATTGCACATGCACGGTATCATCCATGTACATGTCGACCTATTTTCACTTAAAAAAACATCCCAGAATTGCACAAAAATGGCATTGCGCACACTCTTGACTTTATCCATGTACACTGCTAAAGTCCTAGCTAGTAACCTATCGCCTTACCAAAATGTCGCCAAACTACCTGTTACCATATTCCAAAGATTAGCCCTTTTATACAAGACGTTTTATATATTGACTTAATAAAAGATTTTTATCACCCACAAATATAAATCATATTGCAAGTAAAAAGACAGTTAATATTTTCAGAATCATCTGTACTGTGAATTGTTCCAAACATTGTGACTGATCTTTTTTCCAATCCAGATCTTTGAATTTTAATTTTTTTTTTTTTTTTTTTTTGTTTTGAAGAAGGATAAGTTTCGCTGTTTAGAAAACCATTTTAAAATATTTATCTTTTGCTGTTAGAAAGAAAGCAGTGATATAGTTAGATATATTTGCATTAAATAAAGAAAGTAGTTGAGGTTAGATTTTATGGATTGAACTTACATGCCTTATAAAGTACTTATCTTTAAATGAGGTAGCCATATGGTCAAATGTAAATATTGTCACAAAACATTGCCCAAACAGTAATAGTAACTCCCACTGGTATGTTTGGACTATTTTAGTGGCTGTTAACACATTGACTTGTTCTTGTGTTATTTAAACAATGTCTTTCACTATGGATCATTCCTTTTCCTGAAAGAATTTAATGGCAGACTGTGCATGATTTGGTTATTGCAAAAATCACATAATTTATCTCAGTTTCTTTGTCAAAAAGTCAGCAGTGTGTTAAAATCTCAACTGGAAAATGTGTCCGAAGTGAAGTGTCACAGTGTTTGGTATTATTTAAAATATAAGGTATTGTCGCTGATGCACTTGTATACATTTTGGCTATTCTCCATTAATAAAGAAGTACCCTTCTTTTTTTCATGTAATTCATATGAAATATATGATTTATTTTTGTATCTGAGTAGTTATATGATCAAAAACTGCTTAGTTTCAATGGGAAATTTTTCCATATCTTTTTTTTTTAATTAATAAAATTTAATATATTGATCCTAATTATTAAATTATTATAAAATTTTCAAATGCCCTTTGTATCCTTGGCAACAGAAGGGTATTATTCCTTTAATTCAGCAGTACCCTCACTTCAAGAAAGTCAGTAGTTAATAACCAATTGTCAAGACTTAAAATCCTTTCACTTTATTTTTAATAACAGAGAAGTGCAAAGTGAATCATATTAAAAGTATTTTATCTGTACTGTGAGTCATATAATTAATGTATTGGCTTTATATGCGCATTAAGATCATCAAATGTGGCGATATGTATTCTGCGCTGGTTTTTGGCGCAATTCCGTGCTGTGGGATGGTTTGGTGGACAATGCTGTTTGTATGGCAGCGAACGTTGAAACTTTTGACGTTGAAACTTAGAGGCGTTGTGGCAAGATTTCAGTTGTGTATTTCAGATTGTATACAAAGTAAATTTAGTATTAAAAGGTACGATGTTGTTGTTATTAATGAGTCCTTTGTTCATGGGTGTGTTTATGCATATAGAAGTGCATTTTTGGAATTTCTGTGGGAATCAGGACTTTTAAAACGGAGTTTGGTGTGTTCTAAATGTGGAGCTGATATAAGAACTTGGACGAAGATTGGTGTTTCTGATAGACTTGTGTGAGTTTACAGTCAAATGGGTACTGGTAAAGTATGTGGCTGTCAGCAGAATATAAGATTTGGATTGTGGTTTTCATGTATGTAGTACGTTAACTTTGGAGGAAGTTTTTATCGTTACTTTCAAAATTTTGAATCGCAGAAAGACATGTGATATAGCAAAATCGTGGCACTTTTGTTGACAGACGTTGTGTGACTGGCGAAATTTTATTCACGTATGTATTATGGTAAGTGCATTTTATTTTATTGTTTTTATTTTGTAGAATGTTATGTTCATTGTTTTTTTACTATGAATTTCTGTTGTTATTTGAATTATTTGTAATTTATTTTAGTTTATTTTGTTGGTTTGTGCACAATGCCTAGATTGTGCAATTCATAGATTTTTTTTTTTTTTTTTTAAGTTTAAACAGAATGCTGTGTACATGGTATTCTTTGAAATTTATTGTTATGTTAATTTATTAAATTGTGTGTTCAATACAAAAACCACGTTTTTGGAGACATTTTAGGCTTAAAGTTTAAAATGTACACAAAAAATTTAGATAGTAATATGGCACCGTGGAGTTTTTTGGTAAGAAAATTGACAACCTGAGGGTGCATATAAGAGTAGTTCCAATGTATTTAATAAGACTATAATATGACATGGCCATAGGGTCAACTTGATTTCATTTGGAAATGGGGGGAGAAGAAGTGTATAAAATCCGGAAATGGAGAAAAACATTTAAATTTAGCATTAAAATTGTTATCAGCATATTTTTTTGGCTCAAGGTAAATAGTTGAAAAATCAGCATGAAACTTTTTTTTTTTTTTTTTTTTTTTGCTTAAATAACAAATTTCTATTTTTTTAAATAAAAGTTCTGGTTTTGAAATGTTGTAGAAATGCAACATTAGCTCAGTTCCTTGTACAGATTCATGTTTTATTATGTGAATCATTTCACATGAATTAAAACTTCATGCACTGTATGTGGTTCTCTGACTGCTGCAACATATATACATTTTTCTTTTATTTTTAGGATTTTTTTAATATGTGTAATTTATCAGTTTTAGTTGCATTCAGAATGTGCATTTGTATATTAGGAGATTATGCGTATCTTCTTACTGTAATGTGAGTTTCCCATGTGAGTACACATATCATACATTTTCAGAGCTATCAACAAAGACAATGCATAATACAAAACATAAATAAATAATACAAAAACATTTGTCTCTTGGAATGGCCTCATTATTATCGACATATGCTACTCTTACCTCATATACATTCGAGTGCATTCTTGGTTGACATGTGACGTGGATGATAGATGGATGATTCTATATGTAACATGCCACCAGATTTAAGTAGGGTTTGTTCAAAATTTGACACACAGAGCTAAAAAGGTTTTTCATCACCTGATATGTGGTTCCAAAAGTAATATTGTAGTAAAAATTTAAATCTTGGAATTAGAAGATGACACAGACTCATCTATCTTTGGTTATTATCTTTGGATACTTCTGGAACTCCACTCTTATCAGCTTCTTTGAAAATCAGGAGAGCTGGAGGTGGACATATGCAGCTATTATCAATTATGGTTCCCCATCAACGTATCTGGTGGACATGTCACTGCCATAGCTGACCGTCTACATTTATAGTGTTATGTAGCTGTCCATTTTTGGATTGGATGGTTCCAGATCTCCATCTTCTGTCACCTTGGCGATAATTTTTTACTGCCACTTTAGCACCAATTCTAAATCCCCAGTCTGCAAACTCGTAGATTCCTTTTCTAACTCTATCTTCCACACTCTTTTCGAGATCTGGTCTCAATATGTCAATTCTTGTTTGAATTTCTCTCTTCAACATCAAAATTGCTGGTCTCTGTAGAGTAGAAAATTTCAGAGCCTTTCTGTATTGCATTAAAAATGTACTAAGTTTTTGTCACAAAGTTCCCGGATAATTTTGCATGGTTCTTAAGGATTGTTAATTGATTTACTGTAAACGTACATTGTCCAGCCTGCCCATTACTAGATGGTTTAAATGGTGCTAGATTCCGTTACTCTGTAGAAATTATCTTAAACTCAGGTGAAGCAAATTGCGGCCCGTTATCACTCACTAACAATATTGATAATCCGAATCGTGCAAAAGAGTCCTGTAAACATTCTATTATTTTGAAAGATGAGCCTGATTTCTTTGGATAGGCTTCTAGCCATTTTGAGTGAGCATCAATGATTATCAAAAACATATACTCAAAAGTAGGTCTTGCATAATCAATGTGAATATGTTTCTTTGGAGTACTCAGGTACTTCCAATGATGAATCTTTACTTTCCGTGGATCTGTTTTATGTTTTGCACATTCAAAAGTGTTTTGGGAAGTATTTTCGATATCATTATCTATACCATTTTAAAACAAGTAAGATCTAGCAATTGCTTTCATCTTTACAGTCCCTAGATGTCTGTGGTACAAAAGGGGGAGAGATTTGGTGTATCTCTTCCAAAACATTCTCATGGTATTGTTTTGGAATGCAAACGCGTTGGCCATATATTACACAGCCATCTTGGAGACAGTACCCCATCTCCTTTCCATTCAGTTCACCGCCACTTTGATGTATTCATAGCGGAGGACCGAGTTCTGCATCAGTTTAAGTTTCTTTAGCCAAATCTTTGGCAGTGACGGAAGAGTTTAACTCTTCTGTAACTGAAAAATAGTTGAATAAGCTGAATAGACAGTTGGCCTGAGTTTGTCGGTAATTGGGATAGAACGTGAGCATTACCATTCTCGTCTGTTTTACGGTAAATAATGACGAATTGGAATGACTGTGAGACCAAGATACAGTGCAAGAGTCTTGTTGCTGCCAAATTCAGCATGTCTTTGTTTGAGCCGAAAATTGCAACTACAGTTTTATGATCTATAAACATAAATTTCCTGCATTTTAATTAGAGAAAAAAATATTTCCCCAGATGATTGGCAAGGCTTCTTTATCAGTTTGAGAATACTTTTTCTCCATTTCAGTGAGTGTTCTAGAATCATATGCAATTGACCTTTCCATTCCATCAGGAAGTTTGCAAGAAAGCACCACATCTAATCCCACTGTTGATGCATCAATTGCCAACGTTAAAAGCAATTTCAGATCATAATGCATCAAAACTTTTCATGAACACAGTTCTATTTTAATGTTTAGAAAATCCTCTTGATTGTCCCTCATCCAAACTTATTTTGAGTCTTTCTTAGTTAAATGGTATAAGGGATTTGTGATTGTCGCTAAATTTGGGCAAAATGTCCTATAAAAATTAACTAATCCCAAAAAACTTCGAATTTCTTGGACATTTTTGAGTCTTAGAGCTTTAGTAATTGCTGATATTTTTTCATCGGCGTTATGTAAACCATTAGTATCAATTTTATGACCCCAAAATTGTACCTTATTCTGAAAAAATTTACTTTTCTCCAAATTTAATTTTAATCAGCGAGTTTTACATTTCTCAGAGAAATTTTTAAAAATATTTAGATGAGCATCATCATCAGACCCTGTTAATGGCGTATCATACATGTAGACTTTACACCCTTCCATTCCTTGGGATAGTCCATCAATGTAACATTGCCTGATTGCCGAGGCTGCATTTAGCCGGAACATTAATCTCTTATATAATCCCTTCTGTGTGTTTATTGTTAAATATTTTTTAGTTTCGGGGTGCACTTTCATTTGTAAATAAGCATGCTTAAAATAAATTTTTGAAAAATGCTTTCATCCCACTCAAACATGAAAATATTTCCTTGCTAGTTGGCAGAGGGTGTTGATGCATAATGATATTTGGGTTTATTGTCAATGAGTCATCGTCACGCGGTCATATGGAGCTATTCGGCTAAACAACTGGTACTACCGGATTTGCCCATTTTGATATTTCAACCTTTTCGATTATACTCTCCTTTTCCAAGCGATCAATTTCTTCACCTATTTGGCCTTTTAATGTAAATGATACTTGTCTAGCTTTACAAAATTTTGGTAAAACATTAGGTTTTACTTTAAGTTTAACCTCTTAATTTTTATCTCCCCTAATTTTGTATCAAAAATCTCTTTATATTGCTTTAATAATTTATTCAAACTACTCTTTTGAGCAACAGAAATTGCCTTTATAAAGGTCTAATCTAAATTTATCTCTGAAAGCCATTTGTGACCAAATATTGTATCAAGGTTTTCTTTAACAATATAAAGATTTAAGTTTTATTTTGACCCTTATATTCTACATTAACTATAGTTTTTCTTCGTTTTATGTTTTAAATATTAGACTTGTATTATGAATTTTCTTTTTCGAAATTTGCCGTAAATTTTTTAAACTCATTGCCAATACTGCACTTCTTGTGTCCAGTTCTATAGCTACCAGTTCTCCTTCTGTGTTCACTTGGACCATTATGGGCGGTTTTCCTATTTTTCACCTGATAGGAATTTATACTGTTTATGGGAACTGTGTTTTCGTTTCTTACATCTAGTTGTTTTTGTTTTGCTTTATTTCTTTCAGCATTGTTAGCATTAAAGCATGCTCTTTCAATGTGCCTAATTTTCTTATGAAATCTGCAGATACTTTTTTTTTTTTTTTTTTTAATTTACAAGAATTTCTATCATATTTTGTTTTGGAGTGACAAATTTAGATTTAGCTTTATCTCTGGCACTAAACTCCTAAATTCCTACTGGTTTCCCAATTACTTCATTTGCACTTTTAATGCTTTTCCTGTTGCCAAAGCTATTTTTAAAGTGTCATCTAAACTAATATTATCCTGCTCAAAAATTCTATCCAGAATAGCTCTTTCTCTTAGCTCACTAACAAACATATCCCACAACATATTTAGCATGTTCTGATCATAAGGCAAGTGATCGTAACTCTGCCGTCTGTAACACACTAATTGTTTCCCCCTTCATGCTGTTTTCGATTTTAAAATATATGCCTGCTAGTACTTATAATTAACTTTGGATTTAAATGAATTCTCAGTGTTGTTTTTAACACATCATAATCTTTATCAAAAGGATTATAAGGAGCCAGCAAGTTTTTTAAAAGACTGTAAATTTTTCGGACAAACTAGGAATCAATAGTTTCTCACATTTATCACGTGAAACATTTTGTATATCTAAATAACTTTTGAATCTTTCTAAAAATGAATCAAATTGTTCCTCATGTTTGTTATATTTTTCGAACTGAACAGAAAATTTCGAATTATCTATTTATGGAGTATTAGCTGAAGTAAGTTTCTCCATGAGAGCTTTATTCTGCTCTGTAAGCTCAGTTACAAGCTACTGCATGCTTGATTCCTCTAAAAAAAGTAATTATAAAAGCTTTACCTTGAGCTGTCTTTGGGCAATCCCCTAACCCAAAACTACTGATCCGATAGCTGTATAAAGCATTTCACGACAGCACTTCTTTTCATTATTTTGAAATCCACAGTCCTCATCACCAGCATTATTGTGTCTTTAGTGGGTATTTATAGCACAAGATACTGCATTTAGTTTACATGACACTTTATACAAAACACATCATCACTCGCTTACACATATACAACTCCAATGACTGGCATTCACAGTCTCATTTCTGGTTTCAATCACTTCGTGCTGTTGGCGATACTGAGTGCTGCTTGGAGAGTGCGAGCTCTGAGTTTGATTGCGATTAAGTTCTCAATACACCACAACCATCACCATTTAATTTTAATTTTATTTTTAATCTGTAAACAGCAACACAATTAAATTTCAACAGTGTTCATGTTCTTGTCAAAAATATGCTGTCATTTATGGTTGTATAATGGTGTAAGTTTTTCGCAATTCTGAAAGGCGAAGTAGAAAATTGAAATTTGTTTTTTTGCTGCCTACTTTTTAGAGTAACTATATATTCAAAAAGATTTTCATTGATTATCTGCCAAATCTTTTCAATTAATGAAAAGTTGCCAATTCTTGTCAATAAATCTTTCTATTCATTCTTTGTTGTGGTAGTATTTTTCTTTTCCTGGCTCATTTGAAGGTGACAAAGTAAATGAAGACTATCTGCATAAATGGAGAATGGCTTTATAGAAGATACTCTGAGGCAACTGGCTTATATGTGTTACTGAGAGAAACATTAAAAAAGCTGAAATTAATTATCAGTTTTCAATGGAAGATTTGACCTCTGGAGTGCTTTATGCTAGTAGTACTAATTGAGAATGATGTTAAAAATTTTTCTTTTACTCTATAAGCTCTTCACTCATTTTGATTATTTTTTAATTGAGGAATTTTTTTCACCTTGTAATTGTTTTGTGTGTATTAGCCTCTCAGCTATATTTTAATGTAACACTATACACTGCACTGTATTTATCATCGAGAATTCTTCATTTCAAAAGGACATGAAAACTGCCCTTTTTATCTGTAACAATATTTACTTCTGATACAAGAATAACAATACAAAGGGTCTCAAAACTCCATGTATGAGATCTGAGGTGAGATAGAGAACATCGATATGCACGATATTCACATAGAAAGAGAACTGGAAGTAGCACTTCTGGTTGACATCTGGGACTTTCTAATTTATATATTGTCAGTTTCTTTCTCCAGTGGCCAAGCAGTAAAGTCGCTGAACATTGATAATTCAGTTCAGGATTAGAAGCCTGTCAAATGGGCTAGTTGCGTGGCCGTTTTTGTGGTTTTCCCCATGTGTAACATGTATAAGAGCCAGTTTTCCTTAGAAGTCAAATAGGATCTTTATCATTTTAATTCTTTATTGGTTAGTATGATATTTTCGAATTTCCCAGATTTTTTTTATTCAAAATTTCTTTTTTATACTCTTTTTAGGAGTGTGAATGTTCACATGAAATATTTTTAGATTTTTGCAAGTAGAAAGTTTCCCCATTGAGTATTTTCAAGAATAAATTGCAAATTGAAAATTAGAAATCTGTGCATAATTTTTTAAACTCGCAATCATATATACTATTAATATTCATGATGTAATATATCTCAATGATTTTTATAATTGTTATTTTTATTCAGAGAAATATCTAAAATTTGATTAGATTTTTTTTTTTTTTTTCTTTTCTCTTTTCAGTTTGACATGTTCCTTGATGAGGTAAGTCTTAAAACTTATGAAACATTGTGTGATAGTTAAAAGGAATTATTTCATGTGGTAATTTCTTTTTCATGCATTGAATTAAAGTAACTTTATATTGGACCTTGAAAAGAATTTTATTACAGTTATTTAACATGTTTTTATATTTTTTTTTTTTTTTTTTCTATAACAAAAATAGTATCTTTAGAATAAACAGCATGCATAGTATTAAATTGGTTAATAATAAAAGTAATCAAATTTATTAACAAAAATAGTGTCTTTAGAATAAACAGCATGCATAGTATTAAATTGGTTAATAATAAAAGTAATCAAATTTATTATGCTAAATTATGTTGAAATTACTTTTGATACAGTGAAGTGAAGCTTTTGCTGATTGACTTGTTTACTCTCATCCAAAATCCCCAAATGAATGATCTTTTTGTTGCAGCTTTGCCTAGGGTTGCCCTACTTTTTGTTATATAAAAATAAATTGAATTATAACTTCATCAATATTTAGGAGAATGGGAAAAATGAGCATTCACAATGCAGCAGTGATCAACATTACTACAACTCTATAACTGAAGTTCAGAGCTTAAAGTTAGCAGATTGCCCAAAAACATAGATTTAATGTTCTGAGAAAATTTAATGTTCTGAGAGGCGAACACAAGCTAATAAAGAAAAGGAAATCACATTAATCATTGCATCTCCTGACATTCGGAGGTATAAAATCCCTTTTCAATGATTAATCTCTAGTAAAGCAAAATAACATACCTTAAGATGCATAAAAACAATAAATCAACATATAATATGAAATTACACTTTTAACATAATCCAAGGTTTTGCCTAAAAGCTTTTAGTTTCTTTGGGCCTAATGGCTTTGTTAAAATGTCAGCAGTCATTTCATCAGTGCACAGTTAGTAATTTTTACTTTTAATAAGATCCTTAACAAAATGGTATTTAGTGTCTATATGTTTGGTTCTTCCACTGTCTCGTTCGTTGTTTAACATCTTGATACAACTTTGGTTGTCCTCATAAAAAATGCAAATGGTAATCGTTTCATGGAAATCCTATCAAAAGTCTTTTGAGCCAAACTGCCTCCTTTGTTGCCTCTGCAAGTGCTATAAATTCTGCTTCAGTTGACAGCAAAGTCACCCACGGTTGTTTTCTGCAGTTCCATGTAAATACATTGCCTTGATATTCAAAGAAATATCAGTTAATATAAGTTAGATTTCCTATCGGTAGGGTCATTTCGCCAATCTGCATCCACATAACATAACAACAAATTGTTTTCCTTCTCATTTATATTTCCCAGACGCAGTTTAAGATCTTTGATTAACTTCAAATATCTGAAGAGCCTTTTGACTTCGATCCAATTGGCTTCCATTGGTTTTGACACCTTTCGGGCTAAGATGAAAACAGCAGCTGCTATGTCTGGTCTAGTATTGACTGCTAGGTACAGTAAGGATCCTATTGCACTTTTATAGTCCTCAACTTTACTGTACGCTTTTGAATCTTTCCTTTGCTTATAATATCCTGGATCAATAGGAAACGTAGATTTTTTACAATCGTTCATGTGATAATGTTTTAATCACTGTATCTCCTGACATTTGGAGGAATAAAATATACAACACTTTTTGTGGTTCCATGCAAGATAGTTGTATTTTCTTTTAGTAAAATATTATGTTGTAATATTCTTAGACAAAATAGATACATAGAATGTATGCATCATCCCTTTTCATGATGAAGCATTAGAAAAGGGTACATATTGTATTGGTTTTTCATTCTGGAAGTTAGCAACAAGAATTTAGAAAGTATATATAAAACACTCTAATACTACATTATATGTAAACACTCCAATAATGAATATAAACTCATACAATGAACATAAAGCATAATTATAGAATCAAAATAATACATTGTTATTAAAATATATTTAAAAGCATCTAAACTGTACAATAGAATGGGACAAAGGTATAATTATTATCAAAACTTTTCACAAAATTGGCCTTAAACTCGAAAAAGCCATTGAAATTCAACAATGTCATGTTGTAATAAAGAACTTCATTTCAATCTTCTGTATATCTATATGCCTGTTATAACAATGCAACAGTCTTACACGAAACTGCCAAAATATTGCTTCTGAATGTGGAAACCACCATAAAATAAGATGAGCACAAAATGTTCATTCATTTAAAATCTGACTATTGAAGTGCACAGATTATCTGGGAAAGCTTTTCTTACTGGACTTTCAACACAGCTTAGTACATGAATCAGAATTATTTATTACTTTTATTTAATAGAAATCAGCAATTGTCCAATGGCTGTAATTGCCCTTTTTATTGCAAGATTTTTGTAATTTTAAATTAAGATTGATTGCCTTCAGAGCCATCATAAAATATTCCAAAACCATGCTGATAGCTTATTTCTTTAAGAACAAAAAATGATCAATAGAAATTGAAAAGCATTAGCAAGTTTTCTGACATTTTCATCAACATAAATCATTTTAGTAGAATATTATGTTGTAATATTTTTTTAAAAAATATGTGATTATGAAAATTTTAAAATATATTTTTGATGTGCAAATAGGATAAATTAATGATGAATGAACCAGCCCTTCTCTATACTAAATGCTATAAATTACTTTAAGAAATAGTGATATGATTTTTTTTATAATAATGAGATTTTATTTTTTGAATGTGAATGAACCTACTTTTATCCTTGTGCTATTAAGAAAAATAATTTGTTAATGAAAAAATTTATTTAAAAAAAAGATTTTTTTCATTAGCAGGATAAGAGCAACGGGCACAAAAAAAAAAAAAAAAAAAAAAAAAAAAAAAAAGTCTGCCATTTTATTTATTGCTATTTGTTTATTGAAATAATTAACTTGAGATGCATTTTATCTATTTAGAAAATGTTACCATAAATGAGTTTATGATGAAAACAGGTTTTTTTTTTTTTTTTTTTTTTTTTTTTTTTATGGGCAGTATCAAATGGCAGATATATCTTTCTAGGCAGAATTGATTTTCATATCATATTGCCCTTTAACAGCAAAAGTCCAAAATTTTATAGCAATATCCAAAATAATGGGGAATTAACTATTTTATGTGTACTATTATTTTCACTAATTGTTTATTTTCAGTTGTTGACTTATTTTGTATAAATTCTTGTTTATTTTTTTCAGCAACCTGCATCACGACCTCTCAGGTAAGATGAATTAATTGCCAGAAAAATAGATATCATTTTGTAGTATTTTCATTCCTAAGTATAGTCATCATTCATAAAACTGAAGTAAGAAAAACACTGAAATTAAAAGAGTGACATAAAAATAGTAGATACAGGTCCTTAGAAGTCCTTAGGTTTTTTGGAATTGATTTTTGGTCCTTAAAAGTCTTTAATTTCAAACAAATTCAGCAGGAGGTCCTTAATTTTAATCATCCAAAATTTCTGTCTGTTTTTACGACTGCCGTTTTGAATGTGAATTAGCATTTTGGACAAATAATTTTGGTGATGCATTGACAAATATATTTATCTTTTGAAGTGATAAAGTTCATGGATTATAATTTGTTCCAATTTAATTTAAATATAAATGGTGAGATTCTTAAATTTCTGAGCAAAAAGTGAAACATAAGCATTTCAAAATTATTTCATTTTTTCTAATGAAGAGTTCTTAAACAACTCTTTGTGATTGGGAATATCAATTCTTTATTCAACTGTTCAAATTTGGCAACTTACCTTTATTTTGGCAATTTTAAGATCAGTTTCTATGGAAAATATTTAATTCGGCAGTCTTTAAATTTTCGACGATATTTTTTTAAATATTATAACATTGATCGATTTCATTAAAATAATGCTAATATATTGAAATTGTATTCAAGAAATAACATTAAAATGAAACATTCTTATTTTTTGCTATCAAATAAAGTGACATTACTTTCGATTTTGGCGACTTATTATACAATATTTTGAATCTGAAAAATAAGCAAGGTAATAAATGTTTTCTGCTTTAGCACAATTTATGAAACTTTTCTTAGCAAAAGCAAAATAGATCAGTAATTAATTAAAATTCTTTTGTTTTAATTTTTTCATGGTGAGAGTTTTCCTCATGTAGTTGTCTCAATATGCGTCAGCTTTCTTTATAAAAATAATTTTATACTTTTTTTTTTTTTTTTTCAAAATATTTCTGCTTATTTGCTGTTACAGAATTGGTAGGGGTGATTTTTCTTTAGGATTTTAGATATTGCAACCTGGAAGTTTTAGAAGGATTTGAAGGCAAGATTTACAGACCCACGAATCTAGAAGATTCCAGAAAAATGCCTTCATGGTATTAACATGTAATGGATGCATTTTACAGAAAGTTTGTGATGAACTTTTACTTTTTGGAGGATTTTCTGAACAACAATGAAAACATAATATTTAAATGTTTTACTTCTCTTACTAGAAGTCTTTTTCTTAATATGTTTATCTTCCCATTGTTTTCTCTACTTTTCACTAGACACAAACATGGAAAATATCAAAAATGCTTCTAATCTCATCACATGGACAGGCATTTATAGAAAGGAGTTTTTCTATAAATGCCTTCTATTAATAAAGAAATTGAAAACTGACAATTTAAAGGATTTGTCTTGTATGTCTCAATGCATTGTCAGTGGCATAGCTAGAGTGCAGAAAAGGGGGACATAGGTCCTCAGGTGCAGCATCAGTGTGGTGCCAAATTGATGTTACAGAATTTTAGTTTCATTGTTGGCATACAGAAGGGAGGTGCAAAATCTTCAGTTGTCCCTGGGTGCTGAAAACCCTAGCTACACCTTTGTCTATTTTCCCACTTAATGCAATCTATGTGGATCCTAAATTCTAAAATTTTGCCATTTCAAGATTTTGTTGCTCGGTGTGTCACTAAATTCTAAACATTCTGCTACACCGGCTCTGTAACCAGCCCTTACCATATATCATTTCATATTTATTCTGAATGTTCGTATTACTAAGAAATAAAATTAGCACCTTTTCCTATACAATCTACATGCATTTAATTTTTTTAGAATAACAGAAATATTTAATTAAATCCAAAAATTTTAAAATCAAGAGAAAACTTATTAAAGAAACTGAATACATAAAGATAAAGAAAATTATTGTTCAAAGATATGTACAGTTATTATTATGCAAATTAAGCAGTTGTTTACAATTTCAGCCTTTACTATAATTTTCCCTTTCCGTTTCTTCACCAGAATGAAAATCACTTAGTTTTTAAACTAAGGTTTTGGGGTTGTAAGACAGAATTTGTTTCTGGCCTCCTCTTGCACCCTGCATTGGTTCCTACCAGCTCTGGTAATTTGTAATTATTTGTCTTTACGTTATCGCTGCCGATATTTGAATTTGTTACACAATAACTATATTACGACAAATTACGAGTTTGTTACAATGTGTTACTGTAGTCTTAATCTTTACTGTGGTCACAAGATACAGCACAAAAGTGTAAAAACAATGTGAAACTTAATTCTTTGCATCTAGTGAGACTTAATACAAACAGGGTTTAAGAATAATTTGAACTTCTAGTGTCAAAGTAGATTGATGCAATTGAAGACCATTTCTATTTTGTTGCTGTTATGACAAAGTTGAACAGATGATGACTTAAATATCCATTATAAAGCATCAATTATCAGTATTTTAGATGAGACATACTTTTTGAGTGATCTTTGTAGGTCACTAGTTCTTAATCTTCATTGCTGCATTCTCTTCTTTTCACTTAATGACAGTTATCTCTCTAATTTTTAATAGTGCTTTTCAAATGATATGGAAAGTTTATTATTATTATTATTTTAATGTCCTATAGAAGAACACATAAAGTAACTTTTTCAGGTCTTTTGGGTCATGTGTTTCAAACGACTTCTTTCTATGGAACCTTTAGTCTGACAGACAGTCCTCCCCTTAGGGAAAAGGACTTTCTACCATATGAGAACCCTTGACATAGGTTAAGGGTCCCTAATCTTTTTATATGCCTTAATATATTTAGAATGTTTTGGTAATATCATGGCCACTGCCTTTTTTGAGACACGTTTACAGTTCATTGTAATGAATAATTCTAACATATATGTACAAAATTCATTATTTCTGGTAATATAAATTAACTGAAAGATAATAAAAACTAAATTAAAACAAAAACTGAAAGCTTTCAGATTTTATATTATGCCCAAAGGGGAGTTCTTTTAATGTTTTGTGTGTTACCTTTATTTATTAAATAACAGGTTTTTCATGCTTAAACCATAAAATTCCATTCAACAGCAATATTGCAAAATGATTTAAAAAGAGAATACCTTTAGAATTTCCGATACACAGTCTCGTGCGCTGGAGATAAAATTGTTTTTTTCCTCCGTTCAGTGTTGCCATTGCTCGCTTTGAAATCCTTGAGTTTCTTAATCAAAAACTCATAAGTGCTTTACAAAATATGAAATAGATAATAAAACAAATTCCAAATTCGTGCTTCCAGATGCCCGTATTCAAGTGAAGATGAAAGAATTTTTCATCATTTTAGAAATGAAAAATCAAATTTTGTTTTTTCTATCCTGACATGAATAAATTTTGCAATTCATTCATTCATTTTACTTAAATAATTAAAGATGATTATTATTAAAATAATTTGCAGTAACTAGCACACAGATAAATATCTTAAGAAAGGCGTGTTAGCACCATAGCACAGTTGGTCGTCAGATTAGACATCACTCATGCAGTATAAAGTTAGTCACAGAAGTTGGACAAGAATCTTTTATTATATGTCTCATAAAAAGCTAATGCTTTTGATCTTGTAAGAATCTCAGCCACACATGTCTGCCTGCAATGTGTTCTGATCGCATCTCTTCATATATGCTTTTTTTAATATTAAAAACATATGAGCCAGTTTTCGGATTGGATATCCCATGCTTAAGAAGCTGCCCCAAAATTATAACACATAGTTATTTCCTTAGCTTGTTATATGATTAGGCCATTTATTTATTTCTATCATATTAACTACTGTATATATTTATGGTTTATCTAATGATACATATTGTATTCAAATAGTCCTTCGTAACTTTAAAAAGTGTTCCATTTTTAGGATGTTTCTCTTTGAGGTCACAATTCATAACTGGGTTAGCAAGCAGTTTTTGGTGGGTTAAAAAATTTTTTAAAATGCTTTTTTTTTCTTAGTATAAGGTTATGTATATCTTACTCAAAGGGTTAAGGCTCTCTCTCTCTTTTTCCTTATTTTTTTAAAGGTAGCATCTATTTAGATGTGGGCCACTATTCATCTCAATATATGAAGGTTTATCACAATAAATCTTGATGTTGCAGTTGGCTGTGATAAATCACAAATATGTGTTGGAGGTTCATGAGCTTAAAAAATGTTGGGGAACATTGTTTAAAATCGTGTATATGTAAAATACATATTATTTATAAAATAAATGTGTTTCTGCTGGTATAAAATCCATTTATACTGATAAATAGCAAAATTCAATTTTATCTTTTTGTTTATATAAATTAGTATGGGAAGAAATGCTTCAGAATTATGCTTTAACACATTGACTGCCACGGCACTTTTCGGATTCCAGTCCGATAATCCAAATTGATTTAATCATATTATATTATTAAAAAATACTAGTTATGATTCGTAACAATCATAAAAAAGTTTACAGGATATTTTTTCCCCTTTTTTGTAGAAGAAAGTTTTCTACAAATTACCTTGTTGTCGGCTTCTGTTAGACAAAGCTCTTTGCAGAAGCCTGCTACGAGTTGAAGCCATGCTTCAACTTATCGCCTCGGTACGGCTAAAACAAGCTCTAAGCGAGTAAGTAACTCTTAGCAACGCAAAAGTGGCAAGTCAAGAAACTACGAGATAACTCATATTGGGCGTCCTGAAGAATGCTAATACGAGTTATCTCGTGTTGGGCAGTCATTGTGCTAACTATTATGTTGGTTCTTATGTGTGTGTGCTTTTGTGTATGCTTTTGTTTTGTATTTTTCACAATTTGTAATTTTCTGTAGCATATCATCATGGCTGAGCTGTGTTAGAAGTCAGGTGAGTAAGCTTCATGCTTTTGTGTTTTATTCTGTTTAGCATCTTGTCCCGTAAGCTGCTCTTTCTGGCTTGCTTATGTAAAAAATTCAGAAATTTCTGTTAGTTGTGAGAATAAAGTTGAGTCATAGAATAAGTTTTATGATAAGGTGCTGAAAAACTGAAATTTGTTTAGCTAAGATAATTCCATCTGAGAAATAGCCATGGAACAATTTTGGCAAAACACTATGAGTAGCTGTCCTGGATGGCATAATATTTAGAAAATACTACTGACTGCTTGTCCGAATGTATGAGTTTGACTTCTGCATAAGGCTTATCTGCTGTGTTGTCTACCTTCTCTGTTTTCATGCGTGTAGTATTGGTTAACTCCTGTAATGCACCCTGGCTATCTTCAGAGATGAAATAGTAGCTAAGGTTTAGCAATTCTTGATACATGCTTAACAAATAAGCGTCTTATTATTAGTGCACATAAATGTATGAGAATACTTAATTTTTCTATGGACTTTTTGTGTAGTGATTTTTGTAAAACCTACAAAATCCTTAAAAAATTGTAAAAATTTACACTTTTTTAAGGATTAATTAGTCAATGGATGAAAATAAATCAATGGATGTGTCATGTTGTAAAGAAAGGGGGGAAACTGATAATGCCATTAGGCAACAACCCTGGCTAGGAGGAATGTTTGGTAGCTGGAAATAAATAGTAACAACTCATTTCATTAAATCAGACTAAATTATTTATTTTCTAATTGCATATTATAAAACAGATAACAAAAAGGAAACCTTCTGGGAGCTATATTTGGAAACATTGCATTAAAAGCTTTTGTTTGAAAAACCATTATTTACTAATGTTTGAAGAACTATTATTTACTGATACATGAAAAACTATTATTTTCAACAATTACATAACTTTAATTTACTGAAGTTCAGGCAATTTACTGCAAGCTGTTTATAGTGGTAGAATGTCTTAAACATCAATCTAATGCATATCTATAGCATGATGAGAAGTTTAGAGTTCTTAAACAATAGGAATTTAGGTGATTGAGATTCATGGAAAATTTTGGAAGCTACTCATCTGCACACTATGTTGATGTAGTATTGATGCAGTCTTCTCCCAGTAAAAGCTGTTAGTCTCAACAATCTGGTCCCTGAAAGGGAATGGATGTTGCAGGCTGAAAAGTCTACTGAAGAGGACCTCTGCTCATCTGGTGTTCTTTTAGGAGACAATTGTGACGGGCATGCAATTCAGGGGCTGATGAGAAGCCCTAAATGGGACATCGCTGGGGTATTATGGGTATGCATCGCTAGGGTATAAACGTATTATGCGCAATCGTAAATGCATTATGCATTTATGCATGCGCAGAAAGTTTGTAGCTTTGAGGTCCGGATTATAGATCATTCCAGATTATGGACATCCTCATTAAAGACTTTTTTATTTATTAAATTTTTTTATATAGTAAATTTAGTTTCAGGTGCGACTTTCTCTATTTGAAAGAAAAAAAAAAAAAAAAAAAAAAAAAAAAAAAAAAAACCTCCAGAATGTTTTCCTGTTAAAGCCCAAGCCCCATCACTGCATATAGCAATGCACTTGTTCCAAGGAATGTAATTTTCAGACATAAAATTGCCAATTACTTTGAAAATTCCACTTGTTGCTCTATCATGAAGAGATTCACAAAATAAATACTCTTCAACAGTTAATTTATCTTCTTCGAAATGTATGTACACTAATAATTGAACAAAGTTCACTATATCAATGCTTTCATCCAAGTGCAATGCAAAATACTCTGGGTTTTTTTTTTTTTTTTTTACCAAATGTCGCTTTTATGGAATTTTCCATTTCATGAATTTTCCAACTTACTGTATTATTTGATAACGGAATATTATCAAGTTTATTATCCTCTTTTTCGGTGAATAATGTTAAGGTTTTTCTCAAACAGTGTGAGCCTGCCCAGTCTTAGCAATTCTTAGGCTTACCAGGTAACTAGCTTCCAAAGCTTTTTTGCTTGAAGTAGGAAAGCCTTTCATTACTTGTATACTATTTTTGAACTCCTCTTAAAATATTCTTCAGATTTATTCTTTAAATTGGCATGCTTAGATGCAAGTTGTCTTTTAAGAAACGATGGTTTTATACTTTGATTGGATAATAATTCACCGGAAATAATACATTAAGGTTGAGGGTCCATTTCATCTCCCATTCCATGTAAACCCAAATGATAAATAACTTTCATTATATTTTCTATAAACAATTTTTCTTTTCTTTTCAATACTCTTAATGCTAGTAGATTGTCCTGGATCCAACACACCTGGGTGAAAAATCACTTTTCCGCTTAGTCAATCCTAGCCATTTTTCAAATTTGAAAAATCTAGGTTTGGTTTATTATTTTTCACAATTATTTAAATGCACAATGTATTATGAGTTCTTCAAAAACAGACGACGATATTCTCAAATCGCATAGAAAAGTAAGGAATACAAAGCAACAAGAAGACCAAATATTTGCTGTTAGAGACAGCAAACTGATGCAAAAAGTGATTCTCATTCAAAATGGAGCAATATGAGTCCACAAATGGCAACATAAAGTGCTATCATGCTAATAAATCAATAAACTCTTTAAGAGAATTAATGAGATACTATTGTCATTTTTATAGGAACTTATTTTTATTTCCCATTAAATAATGTGTCCATTTCTATCACTACTTTTAAAAACACCATTTATGGCAGATTTTGTTATGTCTATGGCTAAAAGAATATTTGTAAAACGTACAACATGGAAGAACCACAAAAACTGCAATGCAGGCAGATTGTTCGCCTGTTGCTAAATTAGAAGCATGAAAATTCCTTGCCATTTCTGATGAAAATATAAACTTATTTACAAATAATTTCTGAACTAATTATGCTAGATTAACAAATATGAGTCATTAAATGTAATTACTGATGGAAAAACTTAAGATATTATTATTATTATTATTATTATTATTTTGAATTGCTATTTTTATCTTCCAAATTTATTATTAGTTGCATATTTCAAGTATCACAAAAGAAAAGGTATTTAGCAACATCCTGTTTCATTATCAAATAGCTACATATAAAGTTCTTTTAGTATATAATATTTAAAAAAACTGTTGGATTTTATAATGCATTTTATATTTAGAAAGGATGAAAAGAATTTCATTTTTATATTTTTCTCAGTTTCATGAATTCTTCCCAGTTTATTATTATTTAAATGTTTTAATACTTATTTTACTTATTTTCTGTTTCATATGTTTAGCCAAAAAATTTTTATTTATTTCTTACTTTTACAGTTGCTTCAGTTCTTTTTTTTTTTTTTTTTTTTTTTTTTTTTTTTTTTTTTCTGCTTATGTCAATTTCAGTATGGTTTCACTTGAAAAAGAGTTAAACACTAGTGATGTCTCTTTACTGCATGAATCTGAAAGTGAAGATTCAGATATTTTATTTCAGGTACTTCTAATAATTAGAACTATTATATGTTATTGTTTCCTTCAGTTACTTACTTTAAATTTATTGTAAATTCATCTGTTGTACTGTTTGGGGGAGAAAATTGTTATTTCAGTTTCTTTTGATTAGTTGGGTGCTGAGAATGAAGAAATGGAACTGCAGGAAGAAGCAGCTGCTGAAGCTTGTCAAGAAGCTTTGAGGATAAAAAAACTTGCAGAAAATTCCACGGAATTAATTAATCCAGCTAAACTTGCCTTAGATAGTAATGCCTTGCGAAAAGCGTGAGTATTAATTATTTTTATATTTTGTGATTACTTTGAATTTCCCCCCTTTATAGTAAGTTAATTTTATTTGAAAAATATTAAATAGTAGTTCTCTAAAATGTTGAAAAGTCCATGAGTTTTTTTTTTTCTTTCTTTTTTGGCTAAATGTAATGCCTGCAATAAAAAAGATATGACTAGAAGAGTATCATAGGGATAAATATCTTAGAAATCTTTGTACATACTATACTTTTGTACTAAAAATATTCAAATGTAAAATATTTGTCTAATTAAAAATTGTTATTTTGTATTGAATCTATACTGCATAGCACATTTTTTGTTTTAGCTCAACAGGTATTACTAGTTTGGTTTGGCTTCTTTCCTGGCAATTATTAATTTTATAACCATCATTTGCAAATTGCATTTTCCATCTAATCATATTTTCTTTCTTTCAATGGATTTCACTATTTGGTATATGGAATATGTAATAGCAAATCATTCTATCATTTCTCTTTTCCAGACTCTGTAAGAAAGTATGAATTTCAGATATTTCTTCGCCATCTGTGATTGATGCTTTCTAACAGATTTTTAGTCGTATGGGTTTCCCAAAAGTGATCCAAACAGGTCAGGGACCTCTTTTATCAATGCTTTGACAGTGAAATTTTTAAAAGGTACCAGCTGAGATCGGATAATTATGCATATTTTTATTTTATTAGTTCATCTCTGAACATAATATTTAATGATACCAGGTTATTCCTGTTAATATTGAATTGCTTTATTTTATTAGTTTGTCACTGAACGTAATATTAGTGTACCAGGTTAATGCTGTCTCTACTGCTCAAAACTCTCTATGCTCAAAGGAAAAGAGAATTATCTAAAAACGATAAAGAAAAGTTCTTAGAACAGATGAGGGAAGAAAATGGAGCAACCAGAGATGCCTTTGAAGAGGTTAAATTACTGGAATTAAACACAGAAGATAAGCTCTCATGGAATTAGTAAACATTGAATCAAAAGAAGTTGCACAACTTCAGCATACTGATAAGGAACTATCTAAAATCAACCAAGAAGTTAAGGAAGGTACATAGAAAAATGAGAACTATAGTCTGACAGGAACGGACCTTTTATTTTAAAAAAATGACAGATAAAATGGGCTTTAAAAGACAGATTGTAGTTATACCTATAAAACTCCAGTTGTCAATTATAAAGATGGGCCACGAAGGAAGTTCTGATCATTTGGGTGTTAAAAAGACCAAAGATAGGCTGATCGGTTTTTTTTTTTTTTTTTTTTTTTTTTTTTTTTTTTTTTGATGAGGTGTTACAAAGAAACCAAAGATTTTGCAAAATCCTGTGATACTTGTCAGCGTGCTAGGAAGGGAAATTTCAAAAACAAGGCTCCGATGATGTTAGTACCAGTTATTTCCAAAGTACTTTACTAAAATAAATATTGATGCTGTTGGTCTACTACTTACTTCAAGGACTGGAAAAAAATGTATTATTGCAGCTTTGTGTATGTCGCCCAAAAATTCAGATCCTGTTGCGGTGACAGACATTTCTTTGCCTTCTCTTAAATAAATAAGAAAGGCGAGCTCATAAACTTTTAAATTTTACAGAACTTTTTCCTTCAGAAAAAGTCTCTCCATTGGGGAAGAGGTCATAACAGCTTTAAATATTGTTGTTAAACTCTTGTACAATTTAAATAGATAAAAAATAATATATATGTTAACAGCAATGTTTGAAACACAGGCTCGAGAGTCGCATGCGGTTCTCACATGAAGAAAGTATTTATTTTATTTTTAAAAAGTTAGAATACGTTTTCTCTTCTTGTTTGCATGACGCCTTTTTTTCCTGAGTATATCTTTCATTTTGTGAAATTTAAGTGTTAAATAAAGTCATTGCTGTGTTCCATCAATGCAGTTTGCTTCAACTGTGGAAACAATTATCACAGTGCTATATATACCCAATCTGTTGAATGTCTGGGGGGTAGTACAAGATGATGTGATAAATGCCGAAGAGAGACTGCCTTGCCAACATTTATAGACTGTAATGTAATGGAATGCATGTGGTGCAGCATGCATTCTAAAGCAGAAATGTTCTGTGTTATGTTGAATTACATTCTGATGTATTTTCTCCTCTAAGTGAAATGGTTGTTAGTGTTACTTTTTATTTTAACTTTGCAAATTTTTTTAGTCCTTTTAGAAGCAATAAATTTGTCTTTTTTTTTTCTATATTTAAAAAAATAAAACAAAAACTATGTGGAGAGGGCGCCAGAGGAAGGAGGAAGAAAGAAATAAACCAAAATGCACCAGTATGGTGCTGAAAATGCATAATATGATTTTAATGGAAAAGTACCAAAAAATTATAGCTTATCTCAAAAACTATAACTTAAAAATCTGATGTGGATAGAAGACTTCCTTGTATGGCATATTAAATTATACACATTTTTTGCTGCACTTTATTTTAACTTATTTCCTTGAATAATTCTAACTTTCAGTTAAATTTCTCAAGGTAAGTTGAAAATGACATCAAAAATGCAAATTTGAAATTAAATATCCTGGTCAATTTTTTCTCATAATTTTATATTTTCATAATGACTATAAAACGTTCTCGATATAAGAACCAGGAGACAACATGAAAAGTTAGATTTTGCTATTTGACAATTTTTCGTTTTTCTTTTCTTTTCTTTTTCTTTCTTTCTTTTTTTTTTTTTTTTTTTTTTTTTTTTTTCCTTCCCCTTTCTCTCTCTTTTTTTTTTTTTTTTTTTCCGCCCTGTTATGGTGTGTGTGTGTGTGTGTAAATTGAAATTTCCAAATCATGAATATTTTTGTTATTTAAAACATTCTGTATGTGGAAGTTTATGTCTAAAATGATGTTTAAGTTTGTGTCTGTTTGAAATGGGGAAGGAAGGCGTAATGATATATTTCATGAAACAAACATCAGTTTTGATTATTTTGCTTGTTTGTAATAAGCATTCAAATTATTTTATAATTTGATTCAATTTTTTATGTTATTGTTATAATTTAATTTAATATAGGTATTTTTTTCAAATGTCATGACGAAAAAGTGCAGTGCTTATCTTTTTAAAAGTGCTTGTGCAAAACGTTGTTTTTGATGAATTTGGCAGAATAATGGTTTTAGTCGTGTTTAGGGGGTACAAAATTCTGGATTTTCTGGTATTCTGTTTTTGTGTGATCGCGCGTAGGATTTTTGTGTGTTGGTCACTTTTTCCTCGGCCGTCTTTGGTGCTAGTTACTTGTTCCTCAGCTGTTAATGAAGCAGTAGCTGCAATTATGCTCCCTGACCAAGACTACCATTGGAGGTTCGGGGAGTCGGACTTGATAAGCATTCTTTTGGAAATTGTGGTACTTGATACATAATAAGAAAAACTTGAAAAATTGTGGCATCTGGGATTTTTCCTTGATTGAGCGAGAACTGGCAAAGTGCGAGTTAATTTTGAATTGACTAATGGGAGTAAGGACGTAACCTGACTTTGTAGGCGAGGTGAATTACCCCTTAAGTGCATCAGTTTTTACTTTCGAAGGAAGGGTCTGGTGTGCATGTGTGTAGCCCGATGGAGAGTACGAGAAGAGCTGTCATCCCCCCCCCAAAAAAAAAAGAAAAAAAAAAAAAAACAGAAAAGGGAAAATCATCTTAAGAGTATCCACTAAGAAAAGAATGAAAGAAATTAAATTAAATTGTCAATGTTATGCGAGAAGGTGTTTTTGTGAGCTCGTGCATTTGCTGGTTTCACGGGTAATGTGCTGGTTCCATGTGGTGAATCCCTTATCCAGCTGCATCCAGTTGAAATTGTATTGCTATGACTATAAATCTTGGATATGTGGTTTCCCTCCAAGCGTTTGATAAAAATATAATTATATTTTACCAGCAGGAATTGGTAACAGCATTTTCTCCCGATTGGCATGTTCCACATGCTGTTTAACTGACCCGGCTTAGTTGAGTTGAGAAGGCATTATTTTTTTGCATTTTAATCTTCGTATTTGAATGGTACACAAGCTTCTTCAGAAACGCTTCAAGTCACAGAGTTGGATAAATCCGGACAGTTCTTCATCTAGTTTTCGGCCAGGAACTTTGCTGCCATGCAGGATTCTCTAGTTGAATTTGGGTACCCTTGGACTGCCGCTATGTTCCGTTTTCCGACTTCCTACATTCCCATACCCGACCCAGCTGTGAGTGATAACTGCAAATTGTCTCTGTCAAGATAAGTTTTATATATATATGTGTGTGTACTCTGTTTGGTTTAGAATTTATTAAATTATCTTAATCAGTGCTTAGTCAGAGTAATGTCAAAAGGGCCTGAAATGTATAGTCAATTTAAATTTCCCTTCGCTGACCTTTTCCTGAAATCAGTAATAATGAAAATAACTTAGTGCATAGTCTTTTATTGAAATATTGGTAAATGTAAAAATGTAATAAATTACTCTTAGAACTCAAATTTTATTGTGATGAAGTGGTAAATGCCTCATTAAAAATGTAATGAACTATTATGGGGTACCCTTGCCTATGTGAAGAATAATAATGATTTCTTAATATGTCTAAATTTTTACTCATTTTTCATTAATGTAGAACTCTAAAGTAAATTAAAATAAAGGTGATTAATTGGCAAGACGAGGTACTGAAACTTATAATTGTGAACCTTTGTTAAAATCTGGTTTTTCTTGATTTCATGTTCTTGTACTCATTTTGTTACTCGTAACTTTACCTTAGGCCCTAACTTTAATAAATAATATTTATAGGTAAAAATGTTCTATGTATTATTTGTATTTTCGGTACTACAGTCAAATATCACAAATCTGCCAACCTGAAATCCGCCAACTCCTGAAATCCGCGTTGCCTCTCAAAATACAGTAAACATTCAGTTTATAGGTTCTGGAAACCGCAAATTTATTGAAAAAAAATCGAAGAAAAAATACTTACTGAATAATGACATCATAATTACCGAATAATAATAAGTCATAGCAGAAATACCTAATTATTGACATCATGATAAAAGTTTTTTCCCCCTCTAATCTGCATCGAGGTAAAAAAGCAGATGATTCACTCAACTCTTCTTTCAAGTTCACGATTCACGTTGTTGTATTTTCTAAGCTTTGTTATTTCACGAGATTATTTGGTGCTGCCTTCTTTTTTTATCCGGAATTTTGGGGATAAATTAAGAATATTTTAAATTTCAGCCCTTTTTGATACAATTACAGATAAGAAACGCACTCATGATTTTACGGCTTGCAGCGTTGAAAAACATAAACATGTTGCATTGACGGTAATGCAAAAAGTGCAAATTCTGCAAAAGATGGAAGCAGGTGCTACTCCTCGGTTTATAGCAGAATCGTATGGAATTGCGACACAATTGTGTGATATACGAAAAAAATAAAGAAAAGCTGTTAACATTTTTATTATTTTTATTATTTATTAAAACAGTGATTATAACACTGTAATCCAAAACCGGAAATCTTTGCATGAGGCGAAATCGGCAAACCTTGATGCTGTGTACATATGAATGAATGATACATATAATACAATGAATATATAATCAATTTATATATGTAATAATAATTTAATGCATATAATAAGTTATTGCAATAATATATATAATAATTTAATTAAATGTGTCTAATATGCCTTATTTATTTTGCACTTTTAGTCTGAATATTATGATTTATCTTTTCTGTCCTAAAATCCGCACAACCTCTGGTCCCAAGCTCTGCGGATTTCTGGACTTCTACTGTATTCGGTTTTAAGGGCCATAAAAAATCCCCGAACTATTGATGCCAGTGCTGCCAAAAATAATTTTGGCAACCCTAACGCAAGAAAGAAGTATAATAGTAAATAACTATCTAAGATTGATGTTTTAAGTTAGATGAAAGGTTAATTTCATATAATGCTTTTTTATTATTATAATTTATATAAAAAAGGCTAAACATGATTGAATGGAAGCATAAGAGTAAATAACTATTTCAGATCAATATTATAATTTATATAAAAATTGCTAAACTGAATGGATGCCTGCATTGCTATTTCACCACTGAGTTATCGCTAAAGCATAATTTCATCTCTCAAACATAATTGTCTATAATGAATGCTGCCTTTTCTTCTCGGTAAAGTGCAGAATCGCCCACTTATTTGTTTGCTGCTTTTTACAAGGGTAAAAACAATTGGATTTTTGTCAATTTTCTTTTACTTTTTAAGTGAAAATGTGTCGATGTGTACATAGACAGGGCTTAATTTCTAACAGCAGAAGGGCCGGAGCCCTATGAAAGACCATCACGAATGAGGAACAAGAGTAAATAAATAAACAAAATGACTATTAAAATCATTAATAATTTTTAAATTAAATAGATAATGAGTAGCAAATTAATAACAATTATTTAATTGATATTAATAATCAATATTTATTAATTATTATTTACTTGTTAATTACTATTCAATTAATTCACAATTAATTTAATGTTATTTATTAAAATAATTAAAGATTAAAGTAATTAAAACTTAAAATTAAATGAAATGCAAAGAGATAAATTAAAATTTAATAAGTGATTTTTTATATAATTTTTTTGCTAAAAATAAAATTTTCTAGATCAAATTTCTACTAAAATAATTGTTCCATTACATAAAAAAGTACCAGAGCCTTCTTATTTAGGGCTCTAGTGCGCTCCGACTAGAATTAAAATATATCCCAAAAACTAAGAAGTACCAGAGCCGGGCTTCGGTGGGCTCCGGCTCAATTTAAGCTCTGTACATAGATAAAGTCAAAAGTGTGCACAGTGCCATTTTTGTGCAATTCTGGAATTTTTTTTAAGTGAAAATAGGTCGATGGATACCGAGTATGTGCAATTCTTAAAAACGTGTCAAGCAGTGGGTGTTTCTGCACTTTACCCAAAATTCTATTGCAGACTTTCCGTCGTTGGCATTTCCCAAATTGTTAAATCCATAGGATATCAAAAAAGGATTTAAAAATTAAACTAGTATTTCAATGGCATCTTACGAAATATAGAACTATATAAACTTACGTAATCTGAAATCTGCGCATACGCTAGATTTGGTGCGCTGTTAAATGGGCGCGTTTGCTAGATTTGGCGCTTTTACGCATACATTTTCGCTGCAATTTTTTTACTGTCCTCAAAACGGAATAGTACCGTATTTTTTCTATGGATTTTCACTATGCATGGTCCCGGTATAGGAAAAGATACAACGCAAATGACTTTCTTAACTACTAATATATTGTGAATTTTTGTGAAAATGAATTACAAATTAGATATAGGGAATATGTTCCTTTATGTTTAAGTAATTTTTAAACATTTGAGTTTATTTTAATAAGTCAATATCGTGGCAGTACTTTACTTCGTTACCGTACCAGTACTGAATTACCGTACCAGAACTATTTTATTAAAATGGGATCTTACATTCTGCTTTTAATTTGGGTGTGATTCAATGATAAAATTTCTTGCTGTTGAAGTGATTACTGGTTTTAAGAGAAAGAAATAATGCCAGTGAGGCATTTGATGAAAAATAATTCGTTGATAATTTAGAAGTTATAATGGCTTAACATTCTGAAGTATAAGATTTTTTCATTTATTGGCTTCTAATTGTGGAACCACATGTAATTAATTATTCAAAAGTATTGAGTGAATCAGGAATTTTAATATAAAATTAATGCAGTAGTTCATAGAATAAACTAAATATTTTATCTAATTATTTTATGTTAAATCTCACTTTTTATTTGTTTGTTTTAGTTAATACATTGTTCTTTCATTTTAGCTTTATAATTTTTAAACAACATCTTGCTTAAAAAATAGAAAAAAAAAAGTACTAACATTTAAAAATAATTCAAAAAGTTATTCATAATCTGACTCAACTAATTTAAACTTTCAGAATTATTAGACAAAAAACTGGACAAAATTTAACATTAGACTCAATTAAGGTTTAATTTTACCTAATTTTAAAGTTCAAGTATGTTTATCTTACACATGTTGAACTATCTTCACATATCAATAAAAATCCAAGTTTCAAAGAACTTTACATTTTATTAGATGATGTGTTTGTTAATGATTAGTGCTATAAAATTTAATGTATTTTTAACATAGTAATGTAATTAAACTGTTCTTTAACTGAGTTTAGCATTTTTTATTAAAAATATTTGTACACATAATTAATATATGTCTACTTGGAATTTTATATCATAATTGAATTTTTAAATATGTAAATTTAAATTTTCTGTTTCTATAATATAAAATGCATTTAAAAAATAAAGATGATGTGAATTTTCATAAAATATAAATTCTACTTTTCATGCTTCATGTGAAAGAATACAATTGCATATCAGATTAATAAAAATTTTTCCATATCTTTGTGTGGGAGTATTTATTATTAAAATATTCTTGTTTATATTATAGGTATTGCACTAGCATATGAATTATTCTTCCTTCTGAATAATTTATTATCATGTGATCCTGCTCATTTAGTTTCTTAATATCATTGCTATTTTATTTTATTCATTTGTTCTATTACATAAAGTTTTATTTATTTATTTATATTTTAATATTGTTTATAGAATCGATTTTTACTTAGGATATATCAGAAAGTATAGTGGAAATTTTGTAGTATTGTATGTATATATATATATATATATATATATATACACACAGGGTATGTCCCAAAAGTTTCCAGAACAATTTTTTTAAAAAATAATTTATTTAATATCAGTTTACATTCTTTTCAAAGTATTCTCCCCCTACTTTGATGTACCATTGCCAAAGCTTCGCCCAATCATTAAAGGTAGTCTGGAAGTCGTCGATTGGAATCTCCTTCAGTGACATTGTCATGGCTGCTTTTACCTCCTCCAGCATCCCATACCAAGTTCCTTTCAGGGTTCTTTTGATCCTTGGGAACAAAAATCTGCTGGTGCCAGACTGATGCTGTATGGTGGCTGGGGCAGCATTAGTACACCCATTTTGGCCAGCAACTCAGAGACAGTGAGTGTGGTGTGGGTTGACATGTTGTCTTGGTGCAAAGTCCAATTGTCACAAATTTTGTTTCGGATGTGTCAAACCCTGTTGTGCATCCGTTTGAGCACTTCACAGTAAAACTCTTTGTTGACTCTTTGTCCTTGTAACACAAATTCACTGTGAACCAACCACACCTTTTATGTCAAAAAACACAAAGAGCATTGTCTTGAATCACTATTTGCTCATCCTTGCTTTTTCGGGCGAAGAGACTCCTTCGTGTGCCACTCACTGCTCTGACGCTTTGATTTGGGATCATATTGAAAAATCCATGTCTCATCCCCTGTGATTACTACGTTCAAAAATTCTGGGTTCATTTCTTAGCATCCATGCAATTCCTGGCACTTCAACAAGCACTGCTCCTTCATCTCACTCATCAGAACTTTTGGTGCAGACTATCTTCATTTGAAGATCCTCTGTTAAAAGTGATGAATAATTGTTTTGGGTATTCTTCACTCCTCTGCAATCATCTGAACACTTAATCCTCGGTCATTTTAAAAAATGTGATGCACTTTTTGCATCGAGTTGTCCGCTTGTGATGTAGACGGCATCTCAAGCGGTCATCGTCATTGATGGACTCCCGACCTCCCTAGAACCATTTATGCCACATGAAAGTTGAGCTTTTTTCATCGCTCTGTCACCATAGGCTTTCCGAAGCATTTTGAGTTTCTCTGCCCTGTTTTTACCCAGTTTAACACAAAATATTATTGCATAATACTGTTTCAAAAACTGGTCCATTTTTGTGCTCAACAGTGTGCAGTAAATACTTCTGCACGGAGCATAACCCTGCATCAACAACTGCCCACTGGTGACTGATATCAGTCTCATTTCCAACCTTAGATCCCCCACCAACTTCAAAGCTCTGCCACCATTGCCAATTACAAAATATCATTCTGAGAACTTCTGGGACAAATGCTGTATATACATATTTTATTTATTTACTTATTTTTGTGTATTTATTTATTTATTTTAAGTGAGAAAGACTATTTATATAAGGAAGCAGATGTCAGTGAGAAAGGTAAATCAAATTTATACTTGTTAAAAGTTTTTTTATAGTAAGTTTATGTGTTATGTAACCTATGATATTAATTTTCATTTTAATTACCTGTATAACATTCTCTTTCATATAATTCATTCACATTAAAAACATTTTGGAAAATATCATTTCTCTATATTTTTTAAATTATACATTTTGTGAATTAAGATCATTTTCTTGTATATTTTTTATGCTGTTACCAATTATAGTCAACAAAAAAATTTTAAATATACTAATCATTTTTATGAATATCATTTAGTATGTAACAATAATTAATTCAATAGTTTCATAAGAATTTATTAAGGTTAAAAGGTAATTTCAATCATTGTAAATTATTAAGTTAATATTTGGTGAAATAATAAATATAAATCTTTAATATCAGCACACTTAATTGTAAAGAAATTGTAAATACATTTTTATTACATATAAAAGATACTCAAAAATAACTGAAATTATTTTTAAAGAATTATATTATGCTTCTTCTCGCATACTTTAGTCTCCTTCAAAGGTCACTTTCATTATTTTAGTCCCTTTTACCAGCATCAATAATACACTTTTGCCAGTGTTTTGCTACTGCTGTAAAAATGGAAACAGCTCTGAAACTCTTGACACAGAATATTATTTATTCAAGGGCAAGCAGCATATTTTCTTGCATTTCATTTGCATCACTAAATTGCTTCTTTTACCCTTTGAATTACTTTTTGAAAACTTTCTTTATCCATGGACAGAGTTGCTAACTCTCCTGATTTCCAATCATACTCCCACCTACCTGATTTTCAATGTATTTCTCACGACTTTCTCTCATTTTTAAAATTTCTTACGATTTTTATGTAGCTTGGCTTAATACTTCGTTATTTGCACCCCAAAAAAAGTGATTTGTGGCATCTGAAAATGCTTGTTTTTCTCTAAATCCATATAAAAAAACTGAAGTCGTTTCATCACTGACATATGGCATGTTTGTGCTTTGTGTATGAGAGTCCAAAAACATCATCTTCCAGTTCTCCAATGAGAATCAAGTCCTGCTATGGGTCATCTGGCATATATTAGCCAATGTGCACAAAGCAAGATCAAGGTTGTTTATTTCATTTGTCTCGCCAGTGAGCAGCAAAAGTTTCACGTGCTTTCCAGAACAATATGCGATCTTTTATTAATTTTTATTATTTTATTATTTATCTATTTGCAATATAAAATATTCATGATATTTTTCAAAAATCATACACAGGTGAATTTCTTTCTGTTATTATTTCATCAAGGAGGAAATGTAATATTGCAATGTGTGTGGTTTGTTACTGCCGATCTTTTTATTTTACATGGTAAAAGGGCTGATGTTCTTAAACATGTGCATGCACAAGGACATGAGTTGTGCTGGGAAAAAATTCAATTTTTCTATAGAAAAAAGATAAAAAATTACTAATGCAAAATGCCTGTTCCCTGCATTTTACTGGAGCACTTGCCACTGAATATATCGTATCAGATCGTGCTGCAGCTTTCTTAGGAAAAAAAAAATTCCTAGCAATAAAATCGCTAAGAAATACTCAAGTGCAAGGACAAAAACGGCTGCAGCTGTAAAAATGGCTTCAAAAAATCGGTATGGAAAAGTAAATCTTCCGTTATTGATTCATTAAAACAGTTCCATTCTGCCTGTCTGTGGATGGAAGCAATAATACCAAAGCAAAATTACATGCAGTTTTTTTTTTTTTTTTTTTTTTTTTTTTTTTAAATCCAGAGTCTTCAGAAATTGAGTGTAGTTTGCTCTACTTATCCTACTTTAAAAGAGATTTGACAGGCTTTAAGATATAGCTCAGCTAATTATTAAAACTTTAAAATAAAATGCAGTTCTTCAAGGTAATTGCATAGCACTTATTGCTGCACCAGGAATTGTAGACTGATGTTGCAGGCATCTTGGAAAAAAATTCAAATTTGCAAATTATGAAACGCAGCTATCACCTCTTAAATTTAACAGTGAAGAAGGGTCAGTTTCTTTGCCAATAAATGTGAATGAACACATTGTTGATATTTATTATTATCTTGGAAAGACTGCTAAAAGGAGGGGAAAATTGAAACAATTCCAACAGCTGCTTAACACTGAATTAAGAAAAAATTTGAAATACGTATGTGCACGCTGGTTATCTTTAAAGAAATGTTTATTTAGAATCCTCGACCAGTGGACTCCACTTCTTACATTTTCTATATGCTTCTACAGTTAAGATAAAAGGCTTTGTTGAAAGTTATAAAATACCTTAAGTAAATGAAGATGTAGTTATCACTTTCACTGTTAAAAAGAGATATGAGAAAAATTAAGTAATTTCTACACCTGCGAGCAATTTAATTGGCAGTGCTCAAAACAGTACTGCAAAATAAAAGCGTAATGCTCTCCCAAAATGAAAAAAATTGCTTGACAAGGGCTACATTATCCACTTATTGTAAATTTATTTTGTGAAGAACGAATATTTATGTTTTTGTCTTTGGACCTTAACGAAGCTTTTTGCCTTTTTGCCTTCATTCAATGTTCTTAACACGATTTTATAGTGCAAAATTACATTAATTCATGTTTTGCAAGCAATGATTAGTGATCTGATTAAAGTACAGTCAAAAGTCGTTAATCCGGACTCGTTGGGACTTCGACGATTCCGGATTATCGATTTTTCCGGATTATAGATCATCAGTTTAAATCTCGTAATATGGCATGCAGAAATTCTAAAATTAAAAATATGAAACCGTAATTTATGAAATAAAGAACAATTATGATCTAAAGGGTATCAAAATTTACAAAAAAAAAAAAGCTTAATATTTATTTGTTTAATTTATTAAACATTTCTTTCAATGTAAGTTGTTTAAGTTGCTTCGTTTTATGTGATCATACTTTCTCTTTAATTCTATAACAAGACATAATTTCTTGTTCAGTTACAAAGTTCTGCTGTTCAAGTCCCGTTAATTGCTGTGCCGAGAATACCGACTAACTTGTCAATCGAAATTTTTCGGTTTCACTAACCTCTCTGTCACATTCTTCATGTCTTTATCCATTTTTTGAAGCAATTCCACTTTTTGTTTGTTGGACATCGAAACATACTTTCGTTTTGTAGATCCTTTGGAAGTTCCAGCATCGGAAATTCTATTTGACATAATCGAAAGTTCAAGTTTACTTTTATAAAATGCTCTTACAGTCTGCAAAAAATAATAAGCGGGATCCAATTCGAAGATTAAGGAACAATGCAATCATTAACATTAACTGAAATAGATAATTAGATAATTTTAGCTTACACCGTCCGTTATACATTAAACACGCAGGCGAAAACGTATTCTGCACTTGCGCACACGCATATGCGCAGTAAGTCAAGGTCTTACGTGCACGTGTAAAACGTCTGTGCGCATGTGCCAACGCGGCGCATGCGCAGAAAGTTTTTAGCTTTGAGGTCCGGATTATGGGTGTTCGAATTAACGACTTTTGACTGTATTATTTAATGATTAGGGAAAGTAATTAGAGTATTTTTCTATTATTAGAAGGTACAAGTAATAATACTGTTTTTTTACATGTATGTCTTTTTGCATTTAAGAAATAATAACTGAACTTTCAGATATTAATTAGGTACTATTTAAAATTAATTCATTATTAAAAAAATATATTTTCTTTCTACGTATTTTTTATTATTTAAAAAAATCTTCTTTTCTTTGAGAAAATTCTCCTGATTTATTTAAAAAAAAAAAAAAAAACCTGTTTTTGAGTGCCGAAGTTTGACAAGTATGCACGGAAATAGAACAAAATTGCATTCAATAAGAGGTGAGAAGAATGAAGAGACACAAGTTCTATTCTTCTCCATATTTGTCAGATGATGAAATTTTCTCAGAAAACTGCTGAATATCTTTGTATAATCTTCTTTAATAATCTGTCATGCTTTGTCAATGTTTTTCTCATTTCTGCTCATTAATGTATGACTGAGTTGTAGCTGTCTTCGTTTGACAAGTCGCTGTTTGTTAATCTCGAAGGCAAAAAAAACTGATGGACTTGTGATTTACTGAAAGCATCATTTTTAAAAGTTTATTAAAGCATCATCTTTAAAATTTTATTAAAGCATAATAACAATCTCAGCTGCAGTTCTCCTTAACAAAAAACAAAACTTCATGCACACTTTTTGTTTTTTGTGGCTGCTCATCAAAAAAATGGCAGGATGCTGTAAGTAGAAACACAACAAACCTGAGCTGAAGGTGTATTACACTATTCAGATTAATGTCACTTGGCAAACAGGCATAGGAAATCCTAAGCTAAGATCTAGTGGCACTAGCCTCACTATTGGCTGAGTGAGTTAAGTCCTCTAAATCCAGATGAACAAGCTGGTTACATGTTTTCCCTCCCCATGGCTCTCTCTATGTGTAATGTTGAATATGAGCAAGTTTCTCTTAGAAAGTCCTCTACAATGTCCTCTTAGGCAGATAGCCTTCATGCACTTCACCATATTCAAATAACCTAAGCTAACCAAACCTAGTAGCATGATCCATGATTATGAAATGCAAAAATCTTCTGGTTATTTTCGGGTATCCTTTTATACAGTCAAAAGTCGTTAATCCGGACTCGTCAGGCTTCGGCGATTCCGGATTATCGATTTTTCCGGATTATAGATCATCAGTTTAAATCTGGTAAGATGGCATGCAGAAATTACAAAATTAAAAATATGAAATAAGGAACAATTATGATCTGAAGGGTATCAAAATTTACAAAAAGAAAAAGCTTAATATTTAGTTGTTTACTTTATTAAACATTTCTTTCAGTGTAAGTTGTTTAAGTTGCTTCGTTTCATATGATAATACTTTCTCTTTAATTCTATTAAACTTGTTTAGTTGCAAAGTTCCGCTGTTCAAGTCCTATAATTGCTGTGTCGAGAATACCGACTAATTTTTCAATCGAAATTTTTTCATTTTCAATAATCTCTGTCACTTTCTTCACTATCAGAAGCGAATTATAATGACAAGGAACTTGTTTTAAATCA